TTCGTTTAATTTACAGACATAGAGCACTGACAGTATCTCTGGCTACAGCTGGAATGGAATTGACAGACACGTTAGAACTACGGGCGTTAACACCACCTCGGCCATTACAACTACCAGGTCTACCTACCAAGGTATTCGTGTACGCCACGGGCGCTGGATGTGCCACTGTACAGGTTAGAATCAATTTTCTAGCTACAAACGTCTTCTAATATAAGACTTCATGAAAAAAGAAGATTTTTTCAATACAAGGATGCCTTTTTTGTGAATACTTTTGAATATTTAAAAAGACTAAGGTTTTTGTTTGCATCCAGTCCGATTATAATTTTTGAAATATAACTAAGTATAATTTTTAACTTTTATATAAAATTTAGTCAAGGTTAGAATGTCGAGTGTATACTTATCGTAGTTCAAATTACTTGATTAGCCTTATAAAACAAGTAATTATACATATGTATGTGCATATAGATATTGTGTATAATCAATACCGTCCCTTGGTCAAAACTTAGGTATAACAATTACTTACATCACCAACTTTACGAATACAGATACAAATACATATGTTCAATATTTGAATACTTTTCCAGGGGACAATATCATATTCGACGTATAATCCTAAAGCAGAAAATGCACTGCTGAACATCCAAGCAGCTATCATTGAAGAGATAAGACCTGAACGAAGCAGCATTGAGGATTTGCAAGGAAACTTGCCGACACTGATCATTAAGACTTGCTTCAAGTAAGTACAACTACCAGTATATGAAAGATAAAATAGGTCTTATAATTTAAAAAATATGTAACTCTATTTTAATGCTACTTTTAGATGGAAAGGCAAAGAGCGCTCCGGAATTCTTCGTTTAGAATCCTCCCTCTTCTCTGGCTATGAGTTGCATTCAGTAAATCCTGTTGTTCTTGATGGCGCCACATTTGCTGACTTACATTACGGTTCGCGGGGCGAATCGGTGTGGTTTGTGTTTACTAATGTAAGTATTACCAATATTAAAATATACATAACTAAATTAAGATTAGTCTCCCCAGAAACAACTATCGGTTAAAAAAAATCTTTTAGAGATACTTTTACATGATAAATTTATTAAAGTTTATATACTTGAATTTCAGATTAGCTCTACTTGTCCGGTTTGCGTGACTTACGAGGCCAGATCAAAGTTCGTCATAACAAGCCTCCGTCCAGCATTTGCTAAAATTTATCCTTCAAGCAGACCAGATTTAGCTGTTGAAACATTCTTCCACGCGAGACCCGGAAGTCCTCTGTTAAGGGGTATCACAGATGATGATTTTATAACTTGGTTCGATAAAACCCAACGTGCTAGTCTAAAAACAAATACAAATATTGACAATATTTGTGAATGTGGTCGTATATGTAGTAGAGATTACGAATTTAGAAAGGATTACAAGAAAATGATGGAATCAACAACAACAGAGGAGACGACGACAGTAATAGTGACAGAAACAACTTCAACAACTGACTATAAGCTATCAACAACAGATATAACAACAGAGATTCAAAGTGACGTACCTTCTACTTTCTCCTCAACTTCAATTACCACAGAAATCCAAGATATATCAACAACAAGTATACCAGCCCCTGAAAATGATACATCAGAAGTATCTAATGCCACGATAACTTTAAATACTGACGATCCAATAATCATTCCCACTATAACATACGCAGCGCAAACTGAAAATCAAAATATCAATAATAACATTCTTCCAGCTGTCCCTATAATAAACGGTGAACTCATCGTCCAAAAGCTTCCTGTTAATAAAAATTATGCTAAAAAACCTGACTTCAGTAAGAAACCATTACCGCGACGGAAAGGTACATTAAAAGCAACATATGGGGATAAGCATGAAAAATTCTTTTCAAAACCTAAGATCCTCGATGATTTGAGTCTAACAAAAACTAAGAAACCGGTGTATAAAATTAACGAAACTTCCTCAATAAAAGATTTGACTACGACTACATCAACACAAAAAAGTATAACTAGTTCTGAAACTAAAACTTCTGAACACGATGTTTCATCCACCATGAAGACGGAATTGACGACTATCACAGTATTTAATACAGATTCTACTATAATAACTCCAAAAAGTGTAACTGAAGACAAAATTAAGTCAGATAAATCTCTTATTTCCACTCAACCAGAAATAACAACGGTTCCCCACTCAATAACAACAATCACAAAAAGCAATATCAAAACGATACATTACAGGACAAAGAAACCTAAGCCTAAGACACAAATTAAGAAGCCCAACATACATACGAATAACACAAACGAGAAGCCTGTGAAAAATAATAAAACCACAAAACCTGAGATTGTTCTTAATACGACAAAAATTAGATTAGATTCCACCGAAAAATATATATCTAAGTCTTTAAAATCTATCAATAAGGAAATTCATAAAATACCATACACTCCTGTTTCAGAAACGACTAAATCTAACAATATCCCCACAAAAACAGATATCGCACCTGAAAATAGAGAGGGGTACGAAATTTTAGACAAAAATAATCTTTGGGAGCTTCTCAAAGAAGGTCCTGATGATACTAAAATAGAAGATAAAATTAATGTTCACAATCGATTGAACGAAGTGTCACCTGTCAATAATCGTTCTTTATAAACAGTGTTGTTATGTAATGTTTAAGGCACAAAGACTTTTCGCATATTTTTATATTCACGCCCATAACAAAACTATTAAAATTCTACTGAATAAACTTCAAGTCAAATTCCTAGCACATTCGTTGTTGATTGTTAGGTTAATATGCACTAATTGTTTATAATTTTTTAGGTATATATGTATTGTAAATAAGGGATATACTGTAATGAATATGAGATTTGCGCTGTGACTGTATTTGATTGATGTATGCCTGTCTGAAATCAAATGCTGACCCTGGACAAGAGCATGATTTTCTGAATGCTAAAAATAAGCTTCTTTACATAATTTATTTAAATCATAATTCTTAATCAGAAGTATCCCAAAAATCTTAATGTCTGTGCATCTTAATAAACTAAAGGTTTAGACGTAAGTAGAATTACTAATCAGTTAATTTGTACTCTTAATTGTATGTAATCTAAGAACTTAGATTAATATCAACAGTATTTTGTAATAATATTTACTGTTTAAGTCAAATGGTTGTATATTTTATTTCATAGTATAAAACATCTTTAATTAAGGTACTTGATGTACATAGTTTCCAAGTTGCCAAAACTATAAGACAAAAATGTCAAGTCTTTAAATGTCTTTCGTATTCGTATTTACCCTTTAGAGATTAAAACGTAGACTTAGCATAATTATGCGAATGCCCCAGAATTTCCATCCGTCTAATCTATTCTCCTGTATCTATTATATGTAATGTAGTTTCTCTCGTAGCTGTTCTTAGATGTCTTACTTTATATTTGTTAGATGCTAAAATCATTCTAGTTTTACTATTTAATATAGTAGTTTCGATCTTTTACCCCCTCTTAATTTAATTCATTAATGACTATAAAAAATATTCAAACATTTTTCTTCATCTTTTTGTCTTAGATATCATTGTAGACAAATATTTAAAATTTATTCTGAATAAGATACTCTAATGCATTCTTCTTGTACCTTTATGAATTATGACTGTCTTTTGGCAATAGTTATGGCTTGTATTTTTTCACGTAAAATAGTTTAATATAATATGTAGTTATATACATTATTTAAGTGTGATAAATTATGAATTCGTTTAAATAAATGTACGGTTGTATGAAAATAGGTGCTTGAGTGGAGGATTCTTGTCAATTTCAGATGTAAAACGCATTTCTGTATTAATAAAGTTTAATAACTTTTTTGTGCTTATCCATAAGCTAGTCACTTATTTAAAGACACCTTGATGTACTGACACAGAATTAGATCAGATAAATGGTAAAACATCAAATGTTGGTTTCATTTTCATCTCTTCAAAATCTAATAATTAAAATCAAACTAATATGTTGAATTGCCACTTTAAATACTTCATACTTTTCTTGGTACATTTATCAACTTATTTTCTCTTGCATGCATTTACAAACAAGACTGTTTTTCATTAATTAATCATTTTTATAAAGATTTTTAACATTGTTTTCTTTTTATATTTTCCTATGTTTGTTTTGTACGGTGTATGTTGTTTATTTTTATAGATATTTAACTATCTTTAAAAAATTCAAATTATTATTTTTTTATTGTTCCATTGCTTATTTACTTAGAGTGATTCTTAGACATGTTTGGATAAAAATTCTTCAGTGAAGACATTTGATACCGTTCAAGATAAAATATAAAAGTTTGAAAGAGACATCTAATTAATTTTCTTTATATAATACTCATAATACGACATATTAAGTAGTTGTAGCAAATAAAATGTTTAGTTGACTATCAAATTAATAATTGAAATTAAAAAAAATACTTCTAAAAAAGGCTTCAACGAATATAACAAATTCCCTAGCTGGTATCAGAATATGTACATATCTTAAATATGTGTTTTCTTTATAAGATAAAAAAAATCCAAGGCTACAGTATAACCCCATTTTAGTATGACATAACCGAAAAAACAATGTTAAGGTTACTTTATAATAATTGCAAATAGAAACATTTTACATTCACGAAAATTAGTTTTGAATAAATAAAATGCAAGTAGTTATAATACCGGGATGAGGAGAAATTACACTTAATATAACAGAACTAGAATAAATTATACACCTACAAAAATAAAACAACCATATAAATTTACGTTTTATCGATGCCTTTATTCATTATTATGATTGATTCAAATGTTACATTTAGTTTTACTATACGTGACATATATAAATTGACTAGAAACATTTGAGGAATAGAAAAAAATTATACATAGAAATAAATAAGTATTAAATGCTACTGAATAAAACATGAGTTGAAAAGGAAATACACTATTTCATAACCATTAAGTGCTGCATGTATGATAGTAAATTGTTGATGTTATTGAATCGATGACTGAGAACTTTTCATCTCCTCCGTGCGTACGCTAACCAAGCCGGTATGTCCGGCTTCTGTGGAATAATAGGGCTAAAATTAATACAGCTGTTATATGATAATTATAAACAAAGACTCAATAAACTGCAGTTACTCTGAGTCAGCAAAAGTTACAACGCCGAATAAAAACGAAAATGTACTTTAATCTACTTTTAATTACTAAAATAAAACTTTTGGCTAATGAGATCTTAGACTTGTTAGTATTCATTTAAATAAAACTTATATTTTCGAATTACTACGCGTTATTTTATTATTAAATGAAATGAAAATTTTAATCTCGTCTACGTCGGGACTATGTAGTTTTAAAACAATAAAATAACGCGTAGTAATGCGAAAATATTAGTTTTATTTAAACTTAGGCTTCAAATCTTTTTGACCCACACGACCTTAACCTAAAAAAAACATAAGTTGCAAAATTAGCAGCCACGATATAGAATGAATGTAAATTTTTATTAATTTTGAGGGAAATCTACATCAATTAACTTATAAGTTATCTCGAGAAAAATAATAAGAAAGAATGAAGAAATGTAATTCCTGAATGTCAATTTAACCTTTTTCGTGAATAGACAATATTGTTTCTTTTGGAATTCTACACCAACTACATATTTTAAATTACTATTAGAAAAATTGTAACAAAAATTACAATTCTTAAATTATTTTCTCATTCTTGGTACCTTAATATACCTCATTTCATATGAAATACCCACATTTACGAATATAGATATATATGTATATATATATTTAATTAGTAGTTAGGGATTCTTTTAAACCTCGTGTTAATGATTAAATATAATTTTTCATTGTAACCAAAATAAATTATGAGTTTTATATTTGAAATAAAACACCATGATATTTAAATGCGCTGTTGAAATAAAAATTCACTTACAATTTAAATTCTATTAAAGTACATTAAATTATATAGACATCAATATTATTATTATAAACAATCTTCAAACATAATCCACTTACTTCCTATCTGTGACGAAATGTAAACTAATTATACCCGCCCGCAAGTGAACCCGAATAGTTATCGCTATTAAAATGTTATTCAATTCATGAAAATAATTACATTATCTTTGGTATACGAATATTGAATAATTTAGTTAAAATTAATTACGCTTTATATGCCTTTTGCTGTACAATCTAATTTAAAAATATTTATTGTTACAATTTTTTCTGATGTAACAAAATATACTCTATATATGAATTTAAAATACTAATGATATAAATTTATTTACTTAATTTAATGAACCTAGTTCTTCTCACTATGTTTTTACTCTTACTTTTATTTCATATTTTTCTGCCACATTAATTTAGATCATTATTTTGGCAAGATATTTTAGCAAACTTATTTAATACTGTTTCTTTGACTTAGTGCAATTCTCCTAATTTATATCGCATAGTTTTTTTATGGTATCAAAATTAAGTAGTTTACATAAACGATTAGTTAAAGTAAGCAGTTCTTATGAATCATCATTATAGCATGCATTTTCAGTCGGCACGTATCCCTCCAACAAACAAATTCTATCAAATGAAAAAAAAAATATATGAATTAAGATTTTATCAACTTCTAAAGGAAAATATAATTATTATAATTGAAACTATTACTTATATTTCTTAACTTGAAATTATTCACAAAGATAAATAAATCATTCTTCAATATCTTCTATGAATTCATAAAAGATTTTAAAATCTCCTTGAAATATAAATTCCACGTCAAATAAAAGTTGGTAATAACGATTGAGATATTTCAATATGAAAGCTTTTGATTCTTCAATATATCACTGAATAACTGAATAAAATAGTCTTTAAATTGCATTGAAAACGAAGTCTACTATTCCTCTTTCTCAGTAATATACATTATGTTATAGTAATAGAAATTCGTGCTTAAAAAAACCGAACCATAAAATTTAATATTTTTCTTAGAATGAAATAAAAACTTATTCAAGTCGTTATATAATATAATGTAGTTGTTCAGTGTATTACAAGGAAGTTTTGTGGACGAGAAATAAAAACTTCTGTGGATTTATTTTTCAAACAATAGAACTTCAGTGTAGTTACTTTAAAATTTAAACTATACTTCAGTTAAATGTCTCCAAAAAATTAAAAAAAAATTACTCTTTTCCCCTTTACATCACTCACCTATCATTTAGCCTTTCTATTTCTCTTACTAGTACGTAAACTACTAGCTCTTTAATTATTTCTTTAATACTTTACACTTTCCTGCATAAAAAATATTTTAATTAACATCTGTGAATATTAATATTATCTAAACTGAATTGCATTCAATGCTTTCAATGCTGTGTTTCCTAGTGAAGTCAAACTTTAACACAATTTACATACTTATTATAGAAACAGGAGAGCTATAACGGATCCTAACTATCATTTATACCTAACTTATATTAGAAACAATAGTTCTATTGGAGCAATGTTTCTTTTTATTATAACAATTCAATTCCATTAATAGTAAAGTTATGTTGTTACAGAACAAAAGATCTTTTAATACGCAAAAAAGTATTTTATATACCATTATGTATTATATTGATTTCAAGCTACACTTTCTCGAACAAAAAATTTATGAGCACATTGAGTTTTTTATAGCAAACATTACTTTGGAAAATGAGAATCTCATATCGAAAATAAACTCAAATTTCGATAATAGAATGTATATTGAAATACATTTAATTAATTAATGGCTCTGGAAATTAATTAAATGTTTATTTGTTCATCTCAATTAACATAAACATCCTACAATTTGTTTTTATTCTTTGATATCCAAGCATGGTGTCATATCAATTTCTAAACAATCAGTGTAATTATAAAGATTTCTTGATGTTTAATTAATATACTATACTAATTAATACAAATAAAACTTACCTCAAGATCCTTAGCCCAATTGGCGAAGGCGTCAGAACGTTTGCCGAATCTGTGAAATGAAAAAATAAATAACTATCTCAGTCTTCATATATACTAATTAAATTTGAATATCTGAAACGTAAAATAACCCAATCGATAATGATATCTAAGATTTTCGCAAGTATTCATTTAAATGAAACTAATATTTTTCAGACATACTACGCGATTTTTATCGAAGAGGTGTGAATGTCACTCCCATCTTGTCTGGCCGTGATCACGGTTGCTGTAAAGTAGTCGAAACGTCGGGAGTATGTAGTTTTTTTTATCAAAAATAAGTTAAGCGATTTTTCTTTCTTCATCGTAATGTATCGCAGGTAATAAGAATGTTATGTCCTTACAAATAATAATACTGAAAAACCAAAAAGATGTTTGGAAGAAATTAACTTACATGTTATGGACAAATATTGCTTTGTTAGCATGTTTGACTTTGTAAATAAGATATTTTTAAACAAATTTTTAAAGCTTTAAATCAAATATTGCCGTCAAAATCTTAAAATCGAAAATATGTAGTTATCTACCGAAAAGAATTTAAAGATTATTTTAAACCTGTTGTATTAGCTTCAAACTGTGAAATCATAAACTCAATTAAGTCTAACGAACATTGAAGTAAAGGATTTGTTATATCCCTAGTAATTTAATACAACCCATACGATATAAAATAAACACACTTTGAACATTTTAAACTTCACCTGTAATGTGAAACGCCTTTTATTTACTCATTCAATTTGCTAGTTCCAACTTAGCCCCATATAAACATTGTAACAAGGAAATTTGATTAGGAGTTTGATTCGAAAACTACTGCATGCCGAACGAGATAGGTAGTACACCTTCACAGAGAGTACATTAAACGTATTAAATATTAATTAAGTACGTTTGAAAATTAAAACCACATACAAAAATTCATTTAAACAACTTGCCTAATGACTATACTATCTAATTGTAGCGAGAAACATATTCAACCTATGTATGTAAGTTTGTATGTTCTGATCACATAAATAAGCACCGCATATATCCTATAACTAGCCATTCATAAAAAGTTCATACAATAGAACGCGTAACCTAACCTAACCTAGAAAAGTCTATTAAAAACTACACAGACCAATTACCCGACCTACATAAAGTTTGAAATCTACGAAGACAAAATGTGTTTTTAATCCCTACATACTATATGGGATTGGGGAGGGGAAAACATCGATATCGTACCTTGGTCGAGTGTGGTAGGAGTAAATGCGGTCTAGTTTCTGAAGCTGAAGGAGCCGCACCGCACGATCTAACAAGTCTGGATCGACCCGGTCCCCATCCGCTACGTCGCGGCGGTCAATCCTGCCAATATATCGATATCGATATGACATGGGTACACAGCACTACGACCAAGATACGATTTTGTAAACTTCTGATCGACATTTTCAATATTAACTGAAAAGATTTTATAGTACATTCATTGTAAACGTAGTATGTATATATTCTAAGTAAATCATCCAATAAGGTCTTGTTTGTCGATGTCACGCGCTGTTGGTTATCCAATATCGCTTCGAAAGCTTTATTTGTAATCTAATCTGTAATGTTAAGTAGATCGCAGTAATCACGATACGCTTATCGATGCTACGGACACGCGGGTACAGCTCTAATTAGAAATATCAATGGAATTAGTGATTGAGCGATGTATGGTTATGAGATAATATGAAAGAGGTCCTTAAAAATCGTATTCTTATAAAATTAATCCCTTTCTTAGCCCTGAAATCATGGAAAATCGCGGGTTTCTATTATGGGTATCAGAAATACAAAAATTACTTTTGTTGTTAATGTAATTAACTACAATTAACGTCTAAATATATTCACTTAAACTGATACTACGATTTTCTGAGTAGAAAATTTATAATAGGATAATAATTTTCTTTTAAAGCACTAAAAAGAAAATATTCAATAATGTGAACATAATACATGCACGTTTCATTTTTCATGTCTATAATAAAATATTAAACAAATCCCATATTATGTGTTGTCACGTTCATTATTACTATACCCTTTATTAAGTAGTAAAATTATTTATTTACAGTCATAGGAACACTACCTTTTCGCGATATTGTCGTTACTGGCAACATCATACTTTATAAGGTTTCTGGTCAAAAAGCATTGAAATTTGTACTTAAAATAATCAACATACACTTCAAGAAAAAAAATATGATTATGTCAAACCTGTTGTGTTTGCTTATTTGATGTTTGAAACATATAGATATTTCTTTTTGAATAATGTAATAGAATTCCAATAACACTTCAAGAAGAAGCAAATATAATTCAAAGAAGTAAAGTAACGAATAAGATGTATTCTATGTCCCATCTTCCAGGTAATACATGCAGACGTTTATATTTAAACTCATCTGTTAGAGAGACAGCAATCTATTGCGATATATTCCCAACATTTGTCTCACGAATACCTTGTCTTTTTTTGCAAACCGATCGTTTGTGGCACTAAATCTTCAATATTATTAAAAATAAAGTAACAATATTTTTTTGTTTTATTGCTTATATTTCGGTCAAATTTATTATTTTTTTTATTATAATAATATAATTAAAATAGGAATTACTTTACTTCAGTGGTTTAAACAGCTTAAATTGCAATTGAAATACATATGTACCATGTTTAACTTATCTGTTTTTAATAAGTCAAAAATATAGAACAAAATTTCTAGATTCATACTAATAAAAAGATTACAGTAGGGTGAAGTGATTAAGAAGTACGGTTCGTTATTTGAAAAGGTTAAGTATTCTCGTAAAAAAAATAAAACTGATTTGATACTTTTATGTTCATTGAAAAGCAGAGTGTTTGATGTATACATAATAATTTAAATAACCATTTGGATTTAAACATAAATCTAAAATTAGTAGCCAAATAAAATGTATCACGCATGTTGGGCAATAGGTTCTCTGGTAAAAGAAAATAACACCAGGAAGAAAATATTCATTATATATTGTATTAAAGTTATATGAAGAATAGTAATTGAGAAACATAAATAATAATTAAGAAATATATATATTTCATTAAGTTTAAAGTGAAAAAACATTTCTTACAATTATCCTGAGCATTTCTTTGACTAGAATTTCAATATAATTAGCTAAAAACAAAGACGAATGTTAAATTAAATGTTATCTCCGTTCCATTTCAGGTACCTACTCAATTCACATCAATAGCGACTTTTAATTTGAAATTCTACACGCATATAAAAATGTTACAAAGGACCATTTCAGTTTTTAAATAATTCACGATCGGTTTCAAAAGCTTTGCTTTGTATGAACTTATTGGTTCAGTGTATAAGAGTTAGCGATTTTCTCAGCTCTTTTTATGGTAACTAAAAAATATTATCCACCTTTAAAAAAACCGTTTAACAAGAATTATATACAATAGTATGTGATTCATACGTATTACAATACTATTAAAACGTTGATGCAATGAACTAAATATCACTTATGACTTGAAAAATACGTATTTCATAACCATGTCACGTTCAAAATACTTCATAAAGCGGTACAACCTTACTTCATACTTATTAGAATATGAAATCGACTTTAAGAAACTTGGCAATGCCAACCCATCTTCCAGTTTAAATTCACTTTTTGCCCTTTATATACAAACCAAAGATATATTAAAACAATGTATGTATCTATTTTCTTTGTACATGTATATACAGAAATCGTCGTGATATTTTGTAGGTAAAATAATAAAAAAAGCAAAATGTTTTTGTGTTGTAACACCATAACTACATATCTCCAATATTGCTATTTATGAGATGTAGTTCAGTTAAGGTTTCTAAACAATTCCAATAATAGGAAATGGTGAAAACACGTTATAAAGCATTACTTATGAAGTATTCTTGCAACTTTGATCCACTTTGACCACTTTCAGTTCCAGAACTACAATTCAACATTCCTTAAGATTGAATACGTAACGATTTTAAGATAATCACACTCGGATATACTCTGTTTAGGAAATATATAAATACCCATCTTAGACATATGTCAAAAGTAAAATATTATACGAAAAAAAAGTAAAATAAAATTGGATTCTTTCAAAAAACCTAAACAAAAAACTGATTATTTACAAACCAAATAACTACTTTTGTCTGTCTTAATGATAGATAATTAAATTGTAAAGAAACTAACATCGATGTATAATAATCTATAAACTGCAATATAGTCGATATTGAGTTTGAGATCTGAATGTTACACCATAATTAGGATAAAACTACTAAGTTTGTAATAGAATCACCTGTGTAATAGATAATGGTTTAACTTTAAAAAGGAAAGTTTTATTAGAATGCTACGGCTTCAAATAAAATCTTCAGTTTAAAATACCTGTATTGTTGAAGTTAACTAGTTAGTAAGAATACAACTAACAAGTCTCATTGCATCTTTAAAAAAAACTTCCTTAGCGTTTTTTAGTACAAAATATATTAATATTTTTGTAGCCAATACCCTATATTACTATAATTTTAACTAGAATTAAAGTTCAAATAATATGAATAGTATTAGATAATACGTATTCTGTTTGAGAGCTAGACTCATGCATTTATTACCAATACGTTCTCTCTTAGTAAGTTTGCCTACCGGTAACATCAGTGTGTTTCGTATATATTGCAAATCACAACATAATAGACCTTTAATATATTTATAAATATGGCCGTATGTTATTTATTTTAAGTTATGCAGTTAAGGCAATTTAAAAAGATATTGAAGCATTTATTCACCTACGGGGAATATTGCTCTTTACTGTCAGCCACGATTTATAGTATTGCGGCAAGCTAGACTGTGTAAATACAAGATAGTATGGAAAAAGTGTGAAAGAATTTATTTTGCTCATACATTTTCTATTTTTATGAATTATTGTTTTTGATACAACAATATGCTTGGTACAATACAATAATGGTTTAGTATTTTATGTGGCAAGAATATATTTTGAAATTTTACTCATCTAATTTGGATATATAAAAAAGTGACTTATTGTACAGTTGACAAATAATTCGATACATATATTTTTGATATCAACAAATTAACTTTTATACAAATCTTCACTTTAAAATAAACTATTCAATACTTTTATCATAACGGGCTTAAAAAATATCAACGTTAAAAATGCGTCAAGTTGCAAAAGAAATTATACTAATAATCTATGTAGAATAAGCACAACATATTATTATACAAAGTCTGTATTCACTCAAATAGACAGTTACATACAATGCTAGCAATGTAACGCTGCTATACCTTTACTAACTTAAAATCCCACAGCTTTTTATAACAAATTTCTTTTATCGATATTTTTTGCCACGATTATGTATATAAAATAGTATATAATTAAATAGTATATAATTATTATGTATATAAAATAGTATATAATTAAAAAGAATTTTTAAAATGTCCATAAATAACTATGACATTCGTTTGTAATTTATGGCAAAATTCTAAATTTATCAATGACGAGTAACGTTCTGGAATGATATAAAATATCTAAAATCGCTAATAAAACTTCGTCACTTAAAAAAATTACGTTAAATTTTAACTCAGAATATAAATAACAATTATGGCACTTAACTCCTTTAAGAGTGTCAGCAAATTAATGCTTAAATCTGCTAAAGAAAATTGTGTAGAACGGTGTAATAAATTACTTTGTATCAGCCCTTGTTAGTCGCCCTTGGCTTACGACCGCAAACAAGCTAATTTTTTAAACATAAGATTTATTAAATATCTTTAGTAGGATTTTGAATCTATTTTATCAAGATACACGTATAATTTTCATAAATTAGATATATGTGAACTAATTAGTTTAATAAATTTAGTTATTATTTGATAATGTACACATTTAGTTTTGATTTTGTTTATGTTAGAATATTAAATTTTAATTATTTTAAATTTTCACTTAAAAATAGAAAATATAAAAGTAAGTTACGTCACTGGTGTAAAGAAATATTTAAAAACTCATAAAGGTTGTATCATTTGAATGTGAATAAAAAAATTTCTTCTGCAAGTTCATTTGCACGAATTTTCACTCATAAAAACTTCAACGATTTCTTGTTAACATTTCATCAAGGCACGGACGTTCATAACTTTTGAACAGAGGTTAATCCTACATAAATAAATTAACATTTCTACCTATTTAAAAAGAATTATATTCCCATTGTGGAACCGTAATATAAAAAAATATACGAGTGTACTGACAAGCATTTTATATATTTTCACAGTGCGTCAATCCTCGAAATGAATGTTATGTGAAAAAACGTATGATAAGTAATATAGAAAATGAAATCACCACGTGTTCTGTTATATACATATAAAACAACGCAGCAACAGTCACGGGCAAAGGAAAGTTTAAAATAAATAATGAAACATGACATATGTGGTCAGTTGGCACATCAAATTATTTCATAATAATCTGTGGGAGTATTGTTGTAGAGGACGGGAGTTGACGTGGGGAAAATTACAGTTCATGCTATGAATATAACTTTTGCTTTGTCCTACGGGAATTGCTATCTGCTAGAGGTTCACACGAAACAGCTTCATGTATGTATTGTAAAGCCTCTGTGGCATATATGTACATATATACTGGTTTAAATATAACTGACCAAGGAAAATCTCAAAGTGGTAAAACAAAAATCGTGAAATTTTTAACCTATTTTGGAGGAAACTTTGAAAATATATAATTTGAAGATAACTTTAATGTCGTCTGAAAAATTATTAACATTCAAAATAACTAATAAAACGAAATGAGTTATACAAAAAAATTAAGCATTAGGTTCTATTCATATATTTATACGTATATCTTTCTGATCATATGAAAAATAAAGAACTCAATTGTAATTATTTTGTATTTATTATACATATAATGTACAAAAATATATTCAAAAATACATCAACTCGTCCTATTATCTGAATGTCAATTTAACAATGATTTCAACATCATCTTTCAAAACCATCAAAGTATACAATTCAATTTATATTTGCCAAATAAATTGTTGGTATTTACCAAGATATAAAGTTAATTTTCTACAGCGGAAGCTGTTTATAATGAAAACTTAAAGGATATAGTCTTTGCAACGTTTTAAAATCAGGAAATGACGTTTTTATACTTTCGTTTAAAACAATAAACGGTCTGGAAATTCATAATTTTTATGCGGTTTAAAATTCTTTAGGAATATCCTAGTGTTTTTAACAATAGTGAATCAATGGCTCGTTTCTATTACATCCTCTTCAAAATATGTTTCTTTCAAAAAGCATTTGCAATGGAAAAAATAAAAGAGAATGTAACAAAATTATATTCACAGTGTAAATAAAAAATAACTTCGGAATTAAATTGAAGGCGCCTCAAGGTATAACAGCATAAGACGTAATAAAAGTACCAAACACCTTTTATATTATTCAGTTCTGCACCTAATTACTTTTTGCAGCATAAGATTTATTTTCAAAACTGTTAGCCTACGCATACTTAATTCACATTTATAGACATTTTATACGGCTTTAAAATTCTAAATACATTTATAACTTTGGGCATAATTTTAGAAGAACACTTAAATATTGGCTGTAATCCAAAAGTCATTATCAGTTGCTTGTAATCTCCCCTCTGATGACATGCCGTGATAATACAGGTCTTGTTAGGCAATTTTCAACGATTATATTGTAATAATGTCACTTAATGCCAATAGTAACGGCGTTTTTAATTAATGTTGTATAAATTTGTTATCTTAGTTGCTATATACATTTTTTATGTATTCTGGAATGAATTTATGAAGTCTTCATTATTTTCGATCGTTCTAATATTATAATGAGATTTATTTTTTATTCTTATTCTGTTAATCTGAAATCAGTGTTTTTGTTTTTCAATACAGCGAACTTAGTTTTACTGTAGCGTATAATCTCTAGTATATTTAAAATCAATTTCCTCATTTGAATTGCATGATATAAAGAATATTTTATTAAATTAATAAGATCTGGAAAAAAAATTAACTATTCGTGACGATTCCAATTTATTGCTGTAGGTGAAATCACCAAAAATATACTATGATTAGAAATAATTTACCAGGTTTACTGTAGGAAATATCTCATATATTTAAACATTTATCACACCTAGCGCATTTTGGTATACTTACTTGATATGGCATAAATATAATACTCAACCACCAAAGATATATATATATACGGTTATACATTGTAGATATATGTATGTACAACGTTCATACATTATTGCTCCAACTCAATATATACATACCTTGGTCTAGAGGCCTGGGTATACAGACGGTCCAACTCCTGCAACATGCGGAGAGCGTCAGCCATATCATGAGGCCCCTCTTCACGAGCTTCGGCCAGGCAAACAAGAGCCACCACCATTGCGACGATAAGGGCAACCTTCTTGATCATCATTGTGGCTGAAAGATTCAGGATATAAGAACCCCTTTTAAAATGAAAAAAAAAACCGATAATGACATCCAGCCACTCCAAAAAAAATTATTGAATAATAAAAACATATGCAGACTCTTTTTTGCAATCTATCGTATCGTTTCGTTATTACTTCAAAATCCTTTTAAGGTCATTTTAATATTTAGTTTCATTAATTATATTACCATGTTAGCAGGTTGGCCAACATTGCAAAACAAAAACTATATTCATTTATAATTACGTACTAGGCTGTGATTCTTATAAAAGGATTTTACGCCAAAATGACTAAGTGGTCTGCAACTTGGGAATTATTCTGACATAAGCAATATTTGATCGCATTTGTTTGTTGCTTAATTTATCGTAATAATTATCTGCTTTTTGTATCTAGGTCAAAATGATTTACCCACGATTATGTTCTTCAAGTTCAATAACATTTTATATCCGAAATATAGGAAACTGACTTGTTCATGTTTTATAAAATAAATTTTGAAAATAGAGGAAATTAATCATCTTTTTCTGTCAGTAGGCTCTGGTTTTCCGTAGTGAGAAACAAAAAAATCACGAAACACATAGTTAAAGATTCGAACATATTTTCTTCTCAGCTTATTATTTTGTTGTACACATCATACTTGTTTATGCAAAATAATGATAATAATTAAAAGTCTGCAACAATTTTAATCCCAGTTCAAAATGCAATAAACCCACTACGCGTACCAAATTGATAAAGTTTTGTTCTCACATACGTTAAGTCCTATCTAGCTGTAAGCTAACTTAAATCTACATTTAATTTCAAATCCGCGAAAGAAGTACACAAAGAAAAGGAACTTTGTTGTATCTTGAAGATTTTCATGTTATCTTTTACAATGTTACAAGAAACTACATTTAAGCTCAGTAAAGTATTAGCTATTGATTACTAAAACGCAATTTCAAAAACCGTAGTAAATACTTCTGTAAAAAGTATGTACTTATTGTGAATGAATGCACAATAGACAAAATATAAATATTTCATGAATAGAACAATGAAGGATGTTTTCAGTATAAGTCTTTTGTTATAAATATCGGAAGCTTTAGATTTTTTATTGTATAGTTGGTTAGTCTAGCAACAACGGCGTTTGAGTTTCGAGTACCTGGTTTGAGTTGCAAGGCTCTCGGTGGAAGCGGGCTTTTTATAACTCACAATCATAAAGTAGTTGATCAAACCAATTGAGCCGCTTTATGAAATGAATCGAGATGCTTTTAAAAATATATAAGAGGCTTAAATTATATACAATAAAAAATGTTACTTGTTTTATTTCTTAGTCTCTTGTGATGATTCAATAGAAAAAGGATTTTGATATAAGAATGTTGCAAGAATATTAAAATTGTAGATTGCATTGTTATAGTTAAATGAAAAAAATGATTATATTTTTGAACTTATTGCATATTATAAATCATCGTCAAAATATTACTTCAAATTCTATACCATATCTTGAAAAATGTTAATTTCATTTCAGCTACTGAACATGATTTTAAAATTTTTACAATAAAAGAAAGACCACTATAAATAATGAATGGCCTTCACGGTGTACGATTTAGATTTTTGAACATATATATTTTATATAAAGATACATAACTATTTATGATAAACTCAAACACCTATATGTAAAATTATTTCTTTTTAAATAAATAAAAAAAGGAATATTAATTGGTAGTTTAGTTATTTGAATAATATTTTTCGTAAATTCCCTTATACATATAAAATTGGTACATATTACGTCTCAAAAGACATTAGACGATGAATTTTGAAGACACATCAATCATGCAAAAGTTTTTTTTATCACAAAATGTTATCGCTTTCATGATAATGTGATGTCAAAGTATTAGCAAGTTTATATATATTAGTTAATAAACTCTGCTTTTTACATTAAAATTTTATACTCTCTTCAATATTTTACAATACTTCTGCATTTAATATTTCAATTGAAATATTTGGTGATAAAATTCAAATATATGTAGCTGTTTCTAAATAAGATATTATCAGCACATAATACATGAATCTCATTTTTTCCCAATGCTAATAAAATTCGTATTTTTTAGGACTCTACTAAAGGAGTAAAACACATATTTACGATCTTGAATAGCATAAATTATATCCGGCCCTTAGAGTTTTGGAGTCTACCGTCTATTACACTATGACAGTATGATCAACATGTCACTTATTTGTATTATATATTTTATAGAATAATATTTCTGAAAGAAAAAGAAGCAAACAAATTGAAAAATGGTTGTAATGATCTATATAAATCTAAAGCAGATGCTCTTACAAGTAACTTTTGTTTTAATTATTGATTATGGTAAAATTTGTATTTCCAAATAAAACCATGTTTTCCATTTAAATTAATATAATATATAGTGGTTTTATTATATTTATAATAAAATTATTACTAACATATAACTCTAAATATAAAGATGATTAATATAAGGACCAGCTGTTGAAGTATGTAATTTGCTTAACATTTATGCAATCGCAGATTTTTTACTGAAACCGATAACGTCATAACCGTTTGAAGAACAAAATAATTTTTTTCCAATCAGTAATTTCCTAAATACAAAAAGGTATTCAAATATTAAAAGGGATATAGCTCTCTTTGAATATGAATCTAACGAACCATCATAGGGGTCCCATTATTAAAGTATTGAAGATAGGCCATTGTTAATGTTTAATCGGTTTATAAATACAGTTACTAAGATATCGAGTCGTACTTAATTGACCACTCTATTTTATCTCATTGGTTTTTAAATGTAACGGTCATAAAGAAATCTTTTCTATTCTAGTTTTTCTTACTTTCAAAATGCTTTGAGTTCCCTAGATTTATTGTTACGCACTTAGGCATATATTTTGCTGAAGGCTGTTCTTCTCATCAGTTTTGGAGACTTTGTTATAGGAATAATAAATTTAAAAGATCTTTACTCTGATTTTGTACATTGTGGTTAAAAATGGGTACGCTATCTCAAGGTAAGAAAGACTCATCCTTCGATATTTTGTCAACTCAAATGAAATATTAACCGAAAGCCTAGTAGTGAATCTTATTTGCTAGCAATTAATTAGCAGAAAGTATTTTGAGTTAAACTATAATGGATAATTTAAAAAAAAATCAGCTCATAGGTAAATGAAGCGAGAGATTTTGTGGTGGGTTGGGAGGACAAAAGAAGTGAACAAATACATTCACTTAAATCAATTAGCATTAAATAAGGATGTACTGGTTGGCGAAATAAATCACTCATTCCGAGTTATGCTTTGGTAAATAAAAGGGTTTTGAACGAAAGTTCAAATTTTGTTAAGTTATTAGAGAAATCTAATAACTTTACGAAACGTACCTATCAGAATCTTTAAGGAAGAACTAGTATCAAATAGGTTTCTAGAATTGGGAACTATCTTAAAGATTTGTGCACAAAAGCAATATAACAGAAAATTATCCTAAACGAAAACTATGTTTTGAATTCATTGGAGACTTTATTGCACTTCCTGCAATAGGACTTCTTACAGGAAATTTGTATTTTCTACCTACACTGATACAAAATCTCAGGACTTTATAGAAAATTTATCATTGTTACTGGGAACGTTTGAAAAGATACAATCACAAGCATCTTTGCACCTGATAAATGAACTTTAAGTTCAGAACTATATATCTGAATATATTGAACTTCTTTACTTTTTTTTTATTTGTCAACTTACTACATATAATACTTTACTACCAGATTGTAGAATATGATATTATAAAAAAGGAAGGTATATAACAAATCAACTTGATTTACATCTATGAAAAGCCTTGATAATTAGAATAACGGTAATAACATAAATATCAGGGGAAATAACAGAGCACCCGCATTGACATGAACCAAAGATACAACAAAAGCTGGAAAAAATTACACTACAGTTATTTTGAAGTTTAAATTAAATGCCTATCTTTCCTTATTTTGTGTGAAATAAAACGTTGCTCCTTTCTATATAATAAAAGTTTATAAAATATAAGGCTACATTAGGCTAAGCTCTTTTGTTAATATCTCAAAAAAGTGAAAATTTTATTTAGGTCTATTTAGGGCCCTCAAATTGTACTTGTTTTCTGATGGACAAAACATAATAGTTTAGTATTAGTGTTACTGTAAACGTGAACATATTTTCTAGCTTATACCGACGGCCATATCTCAGGTACCAGATGCTACAGGCAATTAAAAACTGTCCGCACTCTATAATAGTCTCAAGAGTGATTTTTACGTATGTTACAGAAAATAGCATAAATCATTTAAAATGAATACTACCAGACATATTCGTGGGAAGAATTTATACCAAACAATTGAAATAACGACAGCAAAAATCAAAAAATCTTATCGTTTAAGGATTATTCTGCAATAGTTTGGATAATTAGATAATATAAAATCATTTAATTATTATTAAAAACTGGCATTGGACCACTTACTAGATAATGTTCTCTAAGAGTGGCATCATAGAAAAAAATCTTGATATTCTGATATGTTGAATGCCGTTACGATATTTTAAATCTTGTGAAGTTTTTGATTTGTAAAAAGAAAAAAATAAAGTCTGAAATTTAAAGGAAACGGCAACGTGAATTCTATAACATATTACAATCGTAAAATTTTAATATTAAAACGATTTCATTCATATAAAATAAATAAAAACTCCAGAAAAGGGTCGAATTTAATTTTTCATAAAGGCCTTTTTTAAAAACGATACAAAGGAATTAACTAAAATTTTAACAATTCAAGGAAAACATACAAGAAAAATTATTCGACTCTGCCCTTTGACGTGTAAAAATTAACCTTTTGAATTGTTCAAAGTATGTTTTTACTAAAAAGTGATCAGAATATTCGGCATTAATTAACATTATAATCTAAACAATAGAAATTCTAAAAGAATATTAATTTTTACTAAACCATCGTCAATTCGAACACGAAATAATATTGAAGAATAAAATGTGACTTACATTTTAAATTACCTTTTATAATTCAACTGTTTTGCCTGTGTTACAAACAAGGGGTCGATTACTACACTATCGTGTATTGTTCCTAAACCTGATAAGTGACCTTAAATTATACTCTCAAATCTAAGCTATCATAACAAGATGATAATCCGTGCCTTCATTTATTACCGCGGCTTATCCACTTAATAGTATGTATAATACCTATTCGACTAAAATTATATTGACAGCGTTATGATAGCGGCTTGTTAGAATTATGATATGTTTTCTATGTTATTTAATTCTGATCAAGCAAATTGTATATATTTATTTACACATAGTTTTTGGAAAAAGTATAGTAAAGAAATTACCAGGTGGAATAATTATGAAAGGTAGTTGAAAAATGTTTGTTTTATTCGATAAAATTGATTTTATTTTCATAGTAATGTAAAATAAGTGATATAGGTATTCTTCGTAATAAATCATAAGCATAATTAAATTTCATAATCCCCTTATATTGACTCAGTTCGATATCCATATTTGCCTGTGGTTAGTTTTCTAAACAAATATTTGAAAAATTTTAACAATTAATATTTCATATTTGCTTTCAATTAAATTATTATTAAGCAAATATAATGTTGATTTAGGATCTAAGAGCCGTTAATACGAGGACTCCTACTTTGTATTCTATGTGTTCTACTTTTATTGAAAACAATTATAAATTAACGACTAGATTATAATATTGAGACAAAAGACTTGATATCGATTGAAGAGGATTTTATACTTGAAAAAAATCTCTGAAAAAGGTTATAACCTTTTGAATAAAATAACTTTACCCTAAAATAAACTGAGATGAGAAACAGAACCGAAAAAAGTTAAAACAACATTGTTCTTACACTTTCAGTCTTTTCTTCAATATGCTTTTATAAAAAAAAGTATGTGTACCGTAAGCAAAAAATTTTGATTTCTTTCTCTTTACGTTTGATTGCTTATTGTTTTTAAAACCGTTAAGTCACTTTCAAAATCTTTTTTTACTATTTGTCAAGATTTATTTACATTTATTGACGATCAATTACTTTACGACCTGCCTAACTCTATTTAAATTTAAAATATATATATATAAGATTACAAAATATTGCTAAACCTTTCCATAACAAATAAATTATAAAGTCATGAAACAAAAGTACGTTTCCCAAAAAATGTTCTGGGGTCAATTTGTACCTTAATATCTTAGAACAAATGTAATTTCATGGTGACGTTCCACAAATGACATATGACCGTGCCGACCCCATGGGATGATCCCACGAAATCATTTACGTCTCAAAATTACTGTGACATATGTATTGGAATCTTATTATTTTACCAATGCATAAATTTAGAATTGTTCTCATATAAGTTCTACATTAGGAAATTATGGATTTTCAACTCCATGGAGTCTTTTCAGTATATCTATTATATTATTAGATTTAAAATTTTAAAACACCATAAAAAGAATGCTTAACTTCTATTCGAACTATTGTCAGATATTATGTTTATATTTTTTCCTAAATAAAAATCGTATTTGACCAAAACTTTGTAATTAACTTTTTCAGTACGTAGCATTCTTGAAAATATTTTTTTGTGTTATTTGTATAAGGATTTTAAATATATTTCAAAGTATTTAAAAGTCAGTTTAAATAAATTAGATTGACTTCAAAACCTTGATAGTGAAAAAATATTTAGATGCAATACTTATGTTCGTTCGGAGTTGTTTTGTATAAAAATTCTTATTTTATTTATTTTTTCAGCCGTCTAGTTTAGAGGCTTTATTCTTTAAAGATTATTTATCTCTTAAAGAGATTTTAGTAAAAAAAATACACTAAGTATTCGAATAAAAATTACCATCAAATTTATATTAATTTAATGGCGAAAATATGGAAAAAAAACTTTTTTCTATTTTAATCACAATGCTTTTATATTTAAACTGATGTTAGTTAAAATGTGAAACTATTTACTGTCATAAATCTTACATTTTAAATCGATTAAAACTCCTACGTTAATATAACCAAGAAATAAAATACTACAAAATAAAATAATTCTGAAGACCAACAAGAAAAAAACAAATTATCCAGCTCACCTGGTAACAGAGTGCGGGAAGCGTCGAAGTTGAAACTTTGGTGAGCGCGAAGTGCAACAAGTTCCAGATGAAAAGCGACTCCGGCATTTATAGTAGTGCTGGGGCGGGCTTGGGGCGGAGTCACGCAAGCGTGGGCGACCTGGTACTTTACACTTAATGAAAGCAGTATAAATATATATAATATTTTTTATCATCGTTTTACATTCCTTATATCATCTAAATAAGTAATAATGTTATGATTTTTGAAATCAATTATAGTTTTTTAGATTCAATTTTTTTATTGAACTGATAAATTTTTAAAACACGTGTCGTTTTTAATGCTATTGTCTGTGCAGAATTGTAGTTATATTAAACATAATTTTGTTATTTTTTTTATTTCTATTAGAGTCATAATTTATCTAATAATAATTGTCATTATTCTAATAATACTAAATGCTTTGTTTTTTTAGTACTTTTATTGGATTTTGCGGATTTCATATAGAACTTTGAATTAACTAAAAAAATAAAAGAGAGAAGAAATGTATTAAATAAAACTCGTAATATATGGACAAATTAATCAAAATACATTTTGTATGCAAATTAAATTTTGAAAACATAATTTTAAATAAATTTACACTTTTTATATGAAAATACACATGTACATAAACTCATACAATAAATTCGTATTATGTGTTTGAATAAATAAAATTAGTATAAACAATAAAATTATCCCAAATACAAATTATGTCAACAACAAATAATTGAACATTCAATTTTGTTGTTTGACAATTATCTTTAGTTATCAAATTATTTACCATTTCGTTATTTTACATTTAACAACATAGTTTAAAATATATATATATATATATATATTTTATTGATAATTTAACTATTTTTAATTGAATAGGACTTAAGACGTTGTGGTCTAATAATGTAAACTTTCACATGCACAAATAAAAAAAATCTTTTAAGGTTTATTACAATACTGTTTTTGAATTAATATTTATTTAGAGTTTTATTTTATATAAAATTAAAAAAAAATGTAACAAAAAATCCAAACATTTTTTTAATAATTGATTGTTTATATACTTAATCAATTTTTTATTTAATTTAACTTTTGCGTATTAAGAAATACGAACAGATTTTTATAGTTTCTTGTAATTTAAGATTATTTATTATCGTTGAAATATCATAATCAATTAAATTTAATTTTTACTGAAGGAAACAAATAATCTTTTTTTTTTGTATTTTCATGCATATTGAAGTGACATACAAACAGTTAAACTATAAAACTTTTAAATATTTGAAACCATTTTGACGTCATCATATTTTCCATCAATATTCTGAGTTTTTTTTTGTCAAATATTATAAATTTTTTATTAATAATAAAAAAATATACACACTCATTATAATGCGTACACATACATTTATTTCTTGATCCTGTTTGAAATTCATTAACAAAATATTAATTTTAATTATGGTACATGATAGCAAAAAACCTTTCATTTTCTTGTTTATTAACAATGTTTATAATAAATCACGAAATACACAAAGGTATTTGTTAAATTTAAATATCAACCACTAAGATTTTAAGGAGATTTTATCAAAAAGTGACATAACCGCAGACATACAAAACATGTACAAATATAATTAAAAGGTTCAACAATGTGCTTATCTATTTTCGTATGTTATTTTAAGTAAGCTTTGATATAACCAACATACGTTTGTGTGAATCTAATTATATTTTATTTATAAGTGGGATTTAAAACAGAAAGAAGATTGTAAGTCAGCGTTCAATAGAAGTTGATTAGAAAATCCAATGATAGGAAAGATTTCGTATAACAGTGATTTTATTTTCCAGAATATTGTAAAGCTAGAAATGTTGTATTATATTTGTTATACATAAAGTTTTTATATATTATTACATAATGCAGAGAGTATATTCTTCTTTTTTATTGAGATTTTTGTTGGTTGAATATGAGTATTTGAGCAACAAAAATCTATGTGATAATTAATTCGTTTATGTATTCTTGTGTTTAAGTATTCTTATGTTGTTGTTGATTATGTCATTACTGTAAGATATATAGACTTATATAAACACATATATATATATATATATATATATATATATATACGTCATACGTCTTTCTCAACAGTTTGACATAATACAAATAACTGTGTCAGTAGTATGAGTAACATCACGAGTAAGTTAATTAGTTGAGTAATATATGTATTATGCAGATGAGATATTTGATGTGGTGTGCGGGTCAAGATCAATAGATCGACTCAGGACTATATCGTGTTCAATACTAATTCACAACTGAAGAAGTTACAGTTTGACAACTGAATATAGTCTAAATCACGACAAAAGAAGTAACAGTTGTTATACTTATGGAAAAAAAACATATGTGTTTGATAAATATATTGTAATAAATTAAAACTGAATACATGATGAAATTTTTTATAAGAGAAATAAAAATATGTAAGCCCTTCAAATAACGTGTAAAGTATTGTAATATATAATTACTGTCTCTGGATTTTCTAACGAAAACTAATTGCAAGTCAATTTAGCAAGAAAATGCAACGAAATTAACAATCATTTATGCTGAAACATTACCATTACATATGATCGTATTGTGAACATCCTCCTGTTTTGAAGTCGATTGAAAACTTATAAAGTTGATACACAGAAATACATATTCTTTGAAGAAATTATTAGGAATATTGGAAAATGGTTACACCCCAACTTTGCCTACGCCATTATTCAAATCCTCGTTTCGCTTTCACAGTTACCCGTTCAACTTGAGAGTTGCTTATTGTTACACTTAATTTTTATTCAAATCAAATTCAACTGTTACGTCAGTTATTCTTGAAAATTTATTTGTGGTTATATATTTAAATGATTATTTTTAAATATAGAATTATTTTTATATCTTACATATAAAATTTTCGTGTCGCGGTGTTAGACAGAGAACTCCTCCGAAACGGCTGGACATATATTGATGAAATTTTGTGAGCATATTAAGTAGGTCTGAGAATCGGCCAACATCTATTTTTCATACCCCTAAGTTATAAATATTGTTAATCCTTAACTTTTTTTTCAAACAAAATTTTTTGGTTTTGTTTTTTTATAATGTAACATTAAAAAATACATACAACCCAAAATTTTTACTTTTTCATAACCAGCCCCTATTTTTTATATGGCAAAACAACGTTTGCAAAGCTAGTTGCTTTATAATTTTTAAGTATAATTATTTATGTTTGCTAGCGAATGTAATTTGTAAACAAGAAGTAACACGCGCATACATTGTTTAATATTGGATTGTTTTGTTTGTTCTACATTTCATTCAAATAGTTTAATGGTACACTAATTGAAATGTATTGCGTATCAAAACAGTAATGCTATTTCAACGTTCCCTTTGAATATACACGAGAACTAATTAGTAGATACTTTTTAAAAATATACAAATTACATTTTATTTAATTGTTATTATGATATTTCATAAAAATTTTCTTGAATATATCAAAGGGAATGAGAGCTAAGACTTTATATCTATCTAATAAAACTAGTTTTTTTTGGATTTACTACGCGTTTTGAGAAAATTCTCAGCTCCTCTGCCCGTGATGACAATTGATGCAAAGTAACCGAAACTTCGAGAGTATGTAATTAGTTAAAATAATGAAATCGGAAAAATATTAGTTCGAGGTCATTCTGTGAATATATCCGAACAAAAAAAAACAATATTGCATTCAATGAAAATGTCAAGAAATTCCCACGCATTTACATTTCTTAAAGATACAAAACCATTTTAGGTACCTATCGATAGAACATCTATACATATCATTTTTGAAAGCATTATGAAGCATATCATTTAAAGTTTAAACCTACACAGACCCTTCATAAAAATAAAATAATACCGGAATGCTACAAATATAATTAATTTATCATCATCAGCCTATCAGAGCCCACCGCTGAGCAAAGGCCTCTTTCTTACATGGAGAAGGTTTGAGCATTAATCATTACGCTTGCTCAAGACGGCTTGGTTATTTCAAACTTATAATTATGATACTATAAGTCCAGGTTTCCTCACGATGTTTGCCTTCACCGTATGTCAGTGGTGTCTAAATACTCTCAGAAAGTACATATGAGTCCGAAAAATCACATTGGTACTTGCCAGGTTTGAACACGCGCCCTCGGCAGCGAAAGGCGGGCCCTTTTAACCACTAGGCCACCACTGACTTAATAAAAAAAAATCCATACAGCTAAAAAGCTATCAGAACTTATTTTACTCTTATAGCTGTAAGTGCTTACAACTTTCAATAATTTAATAATATTTCTATCATATAAATATATGGGAACAAATTTAACAAGAACAGATAACAAATGATGCCCATACACATAATTATTATCATATTATTTTCTTTTGTTAAAGAAAAGATTAATATTTTAGAAACACAAGTAAGCATGTTTATTGTATCCAATCAGATTAAGAGTATGGATTCGAAGTATCATTACTTTTAAACTGTTTCATATAAAGTCTAAGGATCCCATACGAACCTTTTAGCACTTTTAATTAAAAAGGAAATTTCTGTAAGTATAAAAGGAAGTATGTACTCATTTTCGTATGTTTTGTTAAAAAGGTTGCATAAAATCGACAACTTTTAACGTTGCAGCGTCGTCCTATATAAAATTATAAAGATAAAATATCCTTTCATTCAATCAAAGACAAATAACTTATTTAAAATACTAATTCCTCGATTTTCTTAAATCTACGTATAATAAACAAGAAATCACAGCATTTATTATCCAATAATATTATTAACCAATACACGTCACATGATATATATTAAAATAATCAGAATTGTAGATAAAACAGATAGTTACGCTCCAATATCTCGCGTATCTTCCCACACGTACTTTAATTAATTAGCACTTCAAGTTAGAATTTACCTTACGATAAATACAGAGATCGTATGCGGTAAGATATAGAGAGAATGAACGATTCAGATGCCATATACAATGCAGATGATCTTGGAAACAGTTACTACACGCTTTCAGAATTATAAATACTATAATACTCATAAAATAAAAATGACCTGTAATAATCTTCTTCTAAAAAAAGTTAATAAATACGGATGCAGGTACTGCACCGTTGATGGTGTGCCGTGTCGCTGACAGATCCGGGGTACACCGACATAGTGGCTGATGGCTTTCGCATTGGTTTTAGTGAGTAAGGGCCTGCCCAGGTCGAGTCTCACACATGCCTTCCGACCCTACCAAGGCCGGTTGGGGGACTCGTGAAAAGAGTTTCCTTGCGTCATCAAAAAAAAGGTACTGCATCGTTGCTGCAAAGTAACTGAAAAGTCGGGAGTATGTAATTAAAATAATAAAATAAGCTAAGTACATCCGATCATCATAGTTTTATTTGAATTAATAGTCGCGAAATCTAAGGTATCGTTAATCTTTATTTAGCATACAGATAAGCATTACAATTTCATGCCATATAAGTTATATTATATAGTTATTGTATACAAATAGCATGATAAATCTTCTGACAGCCATCATTTACGTCTGATCGCCATCGCCAATGGCAGTTGAAGCATGTCTTCTAAGGCAAGCTGCAAAGCCAATATTGGCTTTTGACTCTAGGTACGTATTTAATGTACTATACAGGGTGACTGGTGAATTACTATCGATACTTGAGGACGTGATATTTGACGATCATATATGACAAAATAAAAATTAATATAACATAAATATTAATAAACTTCTAAGTAAAGTTAACCAAAAGTTATGTAATTAATTACGCATCGTGTGAACACCCTACAGATTAGGTATACACACACACACACGCGCGCGCGAGCGGCGGCGTGGTGTTGTATCAGCACGCCGCCGCACGCGTCCACACTTGGAACACTTGGAACGTGTCCACACTTTATTTATTTATACGGAAATTTGGTCAAAAATTAAGTACCTATTTTTTTTACATAATTCGAATGAGAATGATGTACCGAGTATTCTCCTTAAATATTGATAGTAATTCACCAGTCACCCTGTATATCAGTGATTCCTAACCTTATCTTAACCAGAATTGATAAGAAAAATAAAGTGAATGACTAAGAAGATAAACTTAAACAAGAAAAAATGCATTAAAACTTTAATAAAATTTAAAAGAGATTTGAATTTGTTCGCGGTCCACATTTTGAATCAAGCGGACCACCGGTTGGGACCCACTGCTATATATATGTATAATAAATCCTTTTTTTATATAGAGAAACACAAAAGATTTAAAATCAAAATTGTATCTAAACTTATCAGTTATATTATAAAAGGTAAACAGTTACATGTACTGAACAAGCGTTAACCAGTAATTAACATTTTTATCATATTTATCATGCACTCAGCTTTTGTTGACAATGACTTTGACATGACTAATGCTTCTAAGTAGAGCCATTTATTTTTATTGGCATATAAAAGTTATTAAAGCCCCGAATATATTTATGATTGAACTAAAAACTGTCCTTGGTAAAAATATATCGGAATATATATAAGATTTTTCTGACTTAGAACAAACAATATAACTTTACGTTTTTTTATACTTCAGTATGAAGCTCAGGCTTTAAAACGAATATTTCAAGAACAAAGACAAGCGAACTACAAATTCTACACCTTACTTTGGTGCAATACAAATAAGATTTAAATAGTGTTAACACATGTGTATATGTATCTTTATGCAAACACATATTACATGAAAAAAAAAATTCTAACTTTTCTTCCTGAAAATTTTAAGGAAAACCCAATTATTCTTGTGAAAATAACGATTAAGAAATCTATTCGTTTTACTTAAAGCCAAAATATTTTACCTCCTGGCTAAAATAGTATAAAGAGTACTAAATGTCTTTCATGCAAAACTTTACATCTCCACAGTATCAATATTTCCCTTAGTATAAATCTTACTGACTACAAGTCTGAAAAAAGAAAAAAATATATGTCAGTAATAAGCATGTATTGCTTATTCTTAGAAAAAATAAAGAATAAAGTCAAAATCTAAAGAGTAGAATATGATATTAGTAGCTGAATAATTCTCCATTCTATTCCATACGATCTAATCTCCAAACAACTCAACAATAACCTTTTAATAGATAAATTTAGACTACGATTCCAACTCATTATGATATTTTTATTAAATCTAAATCATCTACCAAGTTTTAGAGGATCGACTTCATTATAATTTATGAATAAAAATTATTGCTGATAATTTTATTAAAATTAACAAGCTTAAGTTAAAGAAAATCAAGACATTTAAAGAAATAACAAATAAAACGATACTGACAAATTCAGGACATAATGTCTCACACATTTATTAAAGTAATATTACAATAGTAACTAAATGAGCAATATTTAAGTAATATTAAAATAGTAATACATATTACAATAGTAATTTTTTGCCTTCCCCATTTTCCCTTTTGACTCCATTCCCAAAATAATATTAACACTACGAAACGAAATTGCATCTCCCATCTCAAAACACATTGCTCCCAAGTTTTTTATACAAGCTCGTATCACAAGTGATTTGTCGATTCAAACTCCTACTGAGAACACAAGAGATGCCCGCATTCACTTGAACTTTAACCAAGTATTTGAGATTAGTTCTGAAGTTATATATACTAGCTTTCCGCCCGCAGCTTCGCCCGCGTGGAGTTCGGTTTATATCGCGTTTCCGAGAGAACCTTTCAAAAGTCTGGGATAAAAACTATCGTATGTTCTTTCTCAAGGTCAACTTTCATTAAAATCGGTTCTGTGGTTTAGGCGTGAAAGCGCAACAGACAGACAGGCAGAGTTACTTTCACATTTATAATAGTAGCAGGGATATACATATGTACATATATAGTTACATAATATACATATACATAGTTATTTTACTTATAGCAAAACGACCTTTTGGTTTATTGTGTCACATTTCTAACTTTAACAGAAATGATATCAAAGATTTCAGCTTCCACATATTTAATTGAAACTAAAATTTTCGGATACTACGCATTTTTTACTAAATAGATATAACAAGTCTGACTCATAGACACTTATTTCTGACCGTGATTACGGTTGCTGTATGTAAAAAATAAAGTAGACGTAAAATAATATACAACGCACAGTAACCGAAAAACTTTTCAATTAACCAAAATGTTCATTTTTTATTTGGTTATACATTTTTATTCAAAATTATTACATACTTAAACCTTAATTTTAAATTTCCACATTTATTTTCATGAAATTCAAGGTGGTGAACCCAGCTGTGGTCAAGTTACTGCAGCTCGAACATATACTGGTTGACCGGGGAAGAACCACCCTCTCACAGAAGATCACTGTGAGGTAGCCTTAATGGCTGCGTTTTGTACGATGAATAAGGAAGCCCAACAATAAGTACGTTTTCCCATCCTTTCCTGGAATTTTCCTTTTCCCATCCTTACCTGCCTTTTCCATTTTCCCCACCCTTTCCCCTTCCTCTTCCCCAATCAATGGTGGCAACGCATTCCCAAACGTCTTTTCGTTTGCCCCCTTTTAGTATAAATTAAAATAAATCGATTTTACTTCAGAAGAAATGTGATCTGAATGAATGTTATGGGTAGTGTACTTGTAGGGCATATAACATGTTACTATAAAAAAATGTTTTGCTCCTTATTTATTCACTAGATTAGCACAATAAGAGCCTATTCATATAAATAGTTGCCAATTATTACCGGAAGGTACGTCAATTTGAATACGCAGCTCAGGGAGAAACATTAAAATGGAGAAAATTTAAGTTTAAGATAACCGTCAAAAGAAAACTCATCTCACTTCTCTTACAATAAAAATAGTGGAAATTTTTTAAGATATTGTGTTTGTCTAAAAATCACATAGTATTTCTTTATATTAGTTAATTTAATAACTCCTGTCAAAATGCAATAGCAATATCACTGTACACCGAGATTGCTCATATTTATTAATATTTCTGTATTTATTTTATGCCTACCGAGTACCGACACAGTTTTTATTTTGTTATTCATTCTCTTGATATTACGCCCGTATAGTGATTATACTGATCTTAAACTTAAATCCGTTTTTTATTAAATACACCTGATATTTATGGACAGTGTTTTTACATTAAAAAATACTATAGGAGCAGAAAATCTTAAAAACCAGATTCTGTTGGAAAGGGTTTTTATCCGTCGATTCAATGACTTGAAACTCTTTTACATTGATACTTACTACTACTACTATTTATAATATTTCATGGAATCAAGTTTGGTAGGAAAGGACGCTAGATGAATTAATACTATGGTTTAATACTTGGAAAATAAGGTCACTGCAGTGCCGGCGTTAGAGGGACTGACTCCCTGGGCAAGAATATTTTGGCACCCAGTTGAAGAAATCAAAATCGAGAATTTTTTTTTCTGAACCAATGTGAACACTGAACGTGTATTAAGAATTCTATATTCCATCTACCATCCCATCTTTCCTTTAGCGACACCCAGAGCTAACGACGTATACGTAGAAATTTATGTAGCTCCTATTTTTTTTTTTCATTTATAAGTATCCTACCTCCACTAATCGCCCCCCATATTTGGCGCCCTGGGCCGTCGTCACATCGCCCCCCCCCCCCCCCGCCTAACGCCGGCACCGGGTCACTGTTTAAGGATTTTATTATGAGGTCTAAATAATAATATTGCTGAAGGCTATCAAGGAAAGACGAGTTTTACTATGTAGTAACTAAAATGTTGTTGAAGCAAGATAAAATATATATATTATCCTAAAATCAAAATGTAGAAAACTGTGATGAGACATTAAAAATTTTAAAACGGTACCCCTACTGACATCTATTGGAACCAAGTAAGAACATTACATTGGCAATGTTTATTTAATACAAATTAAATATTTAACTTAAATGTGACAGATGAATTACTTTTAAATAATAATAAATAAATTGATAATAAATTGTATGTTTTATTTTTTCCATTTACAATTTAAGTTACACTATTTGAAAAGGAACTGGTAAAGTGGCAATAATTTTGACGTCACATTTTTTGACAAATGACAAGTGTAACGAAAATTTAAAATTTGATTTTCGTAACTGATTGCGAACATCTGAATTAACTTCTCTAATTTGTTTTTTTTTTTATTAACAATGGAAAAACTTATTCAGCCAGTTAAAGAAGTTTATTCAAAATTTGTATTTGATAAACAAACACCTAGTTATGTAGAGATATATACGAAAAAGGAAACAGACGCAGTTATTGTGTATTCAAAGGTATATGTTTCCATCGTTTTCATATGTAAAATAAATTAGAACCCATTATTATATTAATAAACTTTTTGTTAAGGCAAAACTGACGTCAGCATCGACTTTAGAAGTTAAAAACGAAAACAATAAATCAGGTATGGAAAACTTGAATTAACACAAGCTAGACTCGTTATACCAGAAGCTATAGTTTAAAATTCGCAATCCATGAAATCGAATTGTAATTGTTGGTACAAACTTCATTATCTATTAATTTTTAACTTATTGCCATATGGCTACACTCCCTTTTTCTTGTAATTTTTAATATTATTTGTCTTTTAATCATCTGCTGTACTATATTGTTTGAGAAAACAGATATTAGTTTATAATCTGAAAATAATAATTTAGATTTTATAATATTCTATCCTCTTTTTCCCCATTTTCAGAAGAATTAGACCTGACCGGCTCACCTCTGAAACTGGATTTAAGTTTACATACAATACTGGATGAAACATTTGTCAATGATGAACCACAGTTATGGAGGAAAGAAGAGGCTTTGCATGCACCTATTGATATAAATACAGCAAGGTAAAAACATTTGTGATGTTCCATAATTAAAATAAACTTATAAGTATTTGAAATATTTGATTTTTCATTTTAAATTTTATGAGTACTAATTAGTATCATAGATATTTGAATATAGAATGTATATTTGATTTTCAGAGAAATATTAAACTCTTACAACCAAATCACAAACAAGGTTTCAGCTGAAAACGCGATTCCAATGTGGGTACTATGTAAACCGTCAGAGACAGCAAAAATATTGCTTATTACTGTGCAATCTAATGAAAACCAGTTTGATAGGGGCTTAGTTACCTACAAGGGTTCTATGTCACTGGATGAAATTGATGTAGATGAAATGGTCTGCAAGTTTTCGGAACTAGAAAGAAAAGATGAATCTGATGTAAGAAGATATTCTTTATTAATTCCATTAAATAGTCTTGATAAATCAATAAAAAAAATTTGGTTTCATATTCTTAACTTTTTTAAATTGTGTTTCAGTTCATATTTTTAAATTTAGAGTGTTACATAATATCATTGCAATAATTTAATAGTTTTAAAATGACTGGCTTGAAAGAATTATAAATTTTAAAAATTGAATTTAATTACTTGCAATGAATGTTCAAGGTATCAGTATCGGTGGAATGTAAGTATGCTATTTCCGGTGTATCATACAGCTCGTATACTAGTGAAGAATTGTTAACTGCTCCTCATGGTGGAATGACGGAATTAACATGTCAATGGTCAAATAAAACGCTGCTCACACCATTTATAAGCTGTAATGTACATTTTGTAAGTATTTTATCATTACACTCTTGATCATTTGGTATGACATATATGATTATTAATTAAGGATGCTTTTAAAAGAAGGATCTATGTTAAATTAATTTATCTTTATATACATATAAATAAAAATGGTACATATACCTCATGCAGCATCAAAAAGTGTTTTCTAATTCACACAGATGGTGTAGCAAAATAATAATTTCTTATTAAACATATTTACTAGAAGAAAGAAAACTGATATAACTTATGGATTTGAGTTATATGTACAATTTTATTTCTATAAATGACTGAATTAATGAAATCAATGTTATTTTTCTTATATAAAAATAATTATATTACATAAAAAGGTCCTACAGAACTTCTGAAATAGTCGCTTATACAGGAAATCAAATAATTTAAGATACAAGAGGATTAATCTTTATTTGGTTTGCAGTTAATGTATACCATACAATTTGAAATTTCTTGAATTGATTTTGATATAGAAGAGCTTTATTTCATTATTACTTAATGTACCAATATGTAAAAAATTGTAAAGTACAGAAATTTATTAGATTTCAATTCATTTCAGATTCAAGAGGTAATAATTGGACATGTAGCGAGCCCATGCAATGCTATATGGAAGTCTGTGTGTGCTTTAAACAATATAAACCAGTTGCTGGTAGAAATGACCGCGGCTGGTGTAACTACTATGCCACTTGATAATGCTTTTATAAGGTAAATCCCTGCTAAAATTATAAATGCGAAAGTAACTCTGTCTGTTACGCTTTCACGCCTAAACCACTGAAGTGATTTTAACGAAATTTGGTACAGAGATAGAGTAGACCTTGAGAAAGAAAATAGGATAGTTTTTATCCCAGATTTTTGAAAGGTTGTCTTAGAAACGGGATATAACCGAAAACCACGCGGGCGAAGCAGCGGTCGGAAAGTTAGTAACAAATAAATTATAAAATACAATATTAAAGGTTATGAGATCTAAGATTTTTGCGAGTACTCACTTAAATGAAACTAATATTTTCGGATTTACTACGCGATTTTTTATTTTGGATTATAGAGAGACACATCTCGTCTGCCCGTGATCGCGGTTGCTGTGAAGTAGCCGAAACGTCGGGAGTATGTAGTTTATAATCAAAAATAAAAAATCGCGTAGTAAATCCGAAAATATTAGTTTCATTTTAATATTAAAGGTTTATATAATTCAAGTAATTATATATGCATATAAGAATAATAATTAAGGTTAACTGTCATATTTTTTTTCTAGGAAAATCGGTTATTTTATATAGAAAATATATTATTGTGACTTGATTTAGAAATATAGCTATATGTGTACGGAGAGAGTATCAAGTATTTCACTAATTCTTGTTTCCAAATGATTGTATCAACATAATTTGCTGTATTATTCAATAAAACTATATTAAATTCATCATGTATGTATTATGTATCAGCTAGACTGAATGACAGAAACTAATATAATAAAGTAATCTATACATTACACTTTATATTATATTATTATTTTAACAATACAAATCAAATATAACTAATACATGCAGTTATAAATGAAAAAAAAAAGATATTTAGCGTCACAATACATGTCATATAAGGTAACATGCACACAAATCCTTAATACAACCCCTGCCATCCCTACTAATATTATAAATGCAAAAGTAACTCTGTCTGTGTGTTACGCTTTCACACCTAAACCACTGAACTGATTTTAATGAAATTTGGTACAGAGATAGAATTGACCTTGAGAATTAACATAGGATAGTTTTTATCCCAGACTCTTGAAAGGTTCTCTTGGAAACGCGATATAACCGAACTCCGTGCGGGCGGAAAGCTAGTATTTAATATACCCATATATTTCTTTCAGAGTCAACAATCCCAATATAAAGCAGCCTAATAATTCTAAACGTCTAACAGAGCTTCTCAATGAGACTGAAATGTACACATATACAGCGGAATGCCCATTAGGTGGCTGCATCTGTGTTACTGAAGACACAACTAGCTTAAGACAGTGTATGTCTGTCTTGTCCTCAAGAGGTTCCAGTAATGATTTCACCTATAAACTATGGGATATCTTAAGAGGTAATCATTATTTGATCTTAAACTACTACCAAAACATATTTCAATGTCAATGAAGTAGTTAAATGTTAAATATAGTGTTAATAAATAGAATAAGGCAAATAAATATTGTACGGGTTTGTACATTAAAACTATCCGCTGGTTCGGTTATTCACTATTTATTTTCTACACGAATTACAATTCTGAACACTGTTAATAATCTTCCGTTACACTGTTCGCTGTTGAAGTCTTCCGTAGTTCTTGAGTTCCGCTGACTGATATTTCTCCGATGAATTCCGCTCACTGACTGCCCTGAGTCGGCCCGTCGGCCGGCCTTTTATATCCGCGCGGTGATCTCACCGCGCATTGTCAGTGTTTGAGCGAGCGCGCAAGCGCTCGCCCAATCAGGAGCTTGCGTTGTCGAGCGTAGTTGCGCATACGATCATTTTACAGTTACAAGTTGTTTCTATTATACATTCTACATAGTTTCTATATTTTTTATTTACTATACTATGCTGTTTATTTACATTAATCTTACGCTATATCTTTATTACACATTACAAGTTCTATCGCTATTTATTTTACATATATATTATATTCTATACTATTTCTATGATGCTATCACGCACATCTCTCCCGCCGTACGACTCGTCGCATCCTTCGGTGCGGGTTCTTCTGTTGATATCGGCAGCATCACGAGTTTCCTTACTGGACGACGTAGTACACCTCCCTTGGTCCGCACGTCCACCGTACGTACCACGCCGTCTGGTCCTGGATACGTCGCCATCACGCGACCACGAATCCATGTGTTCCGGGGTAAGTTGGCGTCTACGATTAACACCAGGTCATCTATTTGTACTTCCGGTCCCCTTCCGTTTGGCTCCAGCCGGTGTTGAAGCTCGGGGAGATACTCCTTCACCCAGCGAGACCAAAACGTATCTGCCAGTTGTTGTCCCGCTCGCCAGCTCGACGTGGAGATGGCGTCCTTTTCATTAAACGTCCCTGATTGGGGTACCCGACCTGGTCCGCCTAGCAGGAAGTGGTTAGGCGTGAGCGCCTCTGGATCCTTCTCATTGACTGAGACGTGTGTCAATGGCCGACTGTTCACTGTATACTCCACTTCCGCGAGTAGCGTGTTTAGTACCTCTTCTGTTGGGTGGCGTTCGTTTAAAGTGGCGGTCAGGGCTGTCTTCACTAACCGCACCATTCTCTCCCACGCTCCACCCATGAATGGCGCCCCTGGAGGGATATAACGCCAGTTGATCAATTTCTGCGCGGCCTCTTCCTTGGTTGCCCCGTCAATCGCTTCTCGCATTTCCTTGTCCGCCCCTTTAAGGTTTGTCCCGTTGTCGGACCAGATCTCCGTCGGGTATCCTCGGCGAGCGAACATTCTTCGTAGTGCCATTACTGCTGAGTTCGTGGTGAGAGAGCCGGCGACCTCGAGGTATATAGCTCGAGTGGTGAGGCACGTGAAAATCGCCACGTACCTTTTCTGTCGAGTTCTGCCCACTTTTATTGGTAGTGGGCCGAAGTAGTCAACCCCCGTGTAGGTGAAGGGTCGCTTGTGGTGGGCTAAGCGACACCCCGGTAGGTCCCCTGTTCTTGGGTATGGCGGTTTCTGAGCCCTCACCCGGCAGAGTAGGCAATTCTTTAGCAATGACTTTATCGTGGGGCGTATTCTTAGCACCCAATATCGTTGTCGGCATTCGTTTAGTGTTGTTTCTACGCCGGCGTGATGGAATTGCTTATGGATATATTGTATCCATAACCTCGTGATCGGATGGTCTCCGCAGAGCACCATAGGTCTTTTGAACGCGTCCGTCACGTCTTGGACCGCGTCAATCCTGCTCCTGATACGTATTGCCCTTTCGCTGTATTGGATACTCAGCTGGTGGAGACGACTCTCCTTGTTGATTTGTTCGCCGTTCTTTAGCTTTGATATTTCTGTGGCGAAAGAATCCTCCTGCGATAAGCGCATTAACAGCTCTTCCGCCGCTTTCAGTATCTCCGCCGGGATTGGGAGCAGTTTCTTCTCCACGGTCAGTGGTCTCTTTTGTTCTCTCTGCGGCCTACTCGGAATCAGTGTCCTTTTCTTGGTCCATTCTGGATCCCTTTCTTTGTTCTTTTTGTTCCGAGCGTAGTGTACCTCCTGGTTAGTTGTCCTGCATAAGTGGATGAATTGGAGGACTCTGGCCGTGGAGCGTCTCAGTCTCGTCCAGCTTGAGAATCTGGCAGGGTCTGGTAGCCCTTCCGCTAATCTTGTTGCATTCCTGGTGCTCACGTGGTGTGTTTTCTCTTCGCCTGAAGACTCTTCCGAGGCTGGCGTGGGTGTTTCGGTTGGCCAGGAGGCCTCGGGCTCGTACAGGAACTCCGGTCCCTTGTACCACCTGTGGTCTTTATTGAAGTTGTGTGGTACGTCCCTTGTCGCGTCATCTGCGACGTTTAACTTTGATAGCACCCACCGCCAGCTGTTCGATTCCGACCCGTCTTCGATGGCCGCCAGTCTATGGGCCACGTATGGTTTGTAAGACCGTGACCCTTTCCTTATCCACGTGAGCACCGTTTTGCTATCCGACCAGAACACTGTGGTGTCGGGCTTCCTCTCGTGCTCGGCCACTACCGTTGTGGCTAGTCTTGTGCCCATGACTGCGGCTTGCAGCTCTAGCCTTGGCACGGATGTGAGCTTTAATGGTGCTACTTTCGCTTTTGCTATGACTAGTGACACCCTAATCTCTCCGCTTGGCGTCATTGTTCTCCAATACAACACCGTTGCGTAAGCTGACTCACTCGTGACCTGGCTGAGATTTCTAAGGTGGATCATCCACTTGAGCCATTGTTCGGCGAGATCTGTCTCTAATTCCTCGTCCCAATCCGTCCCTCTTCGCCAGACTTCCTGGAGGATTTGCTTGGCCTTGATTGTCACCGGAGATGCAAACCCGAGCGGGTCGAAAAGTGACATCACGATCCTGAGGGCTTCTCGTTTGGTCGGTCTTTTGATTGACGCTTCTTCCGCGGGTGTGCCCGCCAAGTTTAAGTTAAACGAGAGCTCGTCTGAGTTCACCTTCCACATCACGCCTAACACGCGTTCCGTTTTCTCATTTGTGGTGTGTAGTTCCACGTCCTTTGGTGGCTCTCTTTCCCCTAAGGCTTCCAGAAGCGTTGCCGAGTTCGACTTCCACTGTTTCAACTCGAAGTGCGCCTTGCTGTGGACTATTCGGACGTCCTTGGTGATCCGTATAGCGTCTTCGATGGTTTTGAAGCTGTCCAGATAGTCGTCAACATAGTGTTTGTTGATTACGGCCTCCGTGGCTTCCGGGTAGGAGTCCTTTTGTCGCTTCGCATTCAGGTTCTTGACATATATTGCCGTTGACGGTGAACTGGATGCTCCGAATATGAGCGACGTCATCCGATATTCTTCCGGAGGTGAGTCATCCCTCCTGTTTCCTCTTTTTATTTACATTAATCTTACGCTATATCTTTATTACACATTACAAGTTCTATCGCTATTTATTTTACATATATATTATATTCTATACTATTTCTATGATGCTATCCCGCACAAATATATTGTTTCCCGCTATTTAAAACAAACTAAAAAAAATGCATATTATAAATTAATCAATCCAGAGCAATAAGTACGTATTTCAGCTAATTTCCCGACGCTCACACTGTTTTCTTCGCTGCATAGAAAAAATACCACACATAATATGTGCTTGGAATATAAAAACACACTGTCTTTCTCTCCTACATTCTACATCTTTTTGTATCTTTCTATCTCTCTCCCTCGGCGTAGAACGTTTAAACGCAATCTTTTTGGAATTTGCATAAAGTTTAATTTCAAAAAGTTATGTCATAGATGTATATAGCTTTTATACTTATATTGAAACTATACTTTTTGAACATTTTCATGGATGCAACTAAGTGGAATGATATATTTCAGAAGTTGCAATCGTGTAGTCCAGAATTGCTCATGTAGATTAATATTTTTAAATTAAATTTTACTATTTCCACTAAACCATACCATTTCACATATATTTTTGTATAATAAAAAATATACGATATTATTTCAGAGTGTGAAACCGCTGAAGAACTAGTTACATTGCTAATACAAGCTCTTAAGTTTATATCGTCTGGGAAGATAAGGCCATTTGTAAGTTTTGCAAATTGATTACAAAATATTACATAATGATACCAACCATATAAAATATATTTCATGAAATTCACTTAAATATTACCAAAATTTTAAGTGTCAATGTGTAAATTTTTAATTTAATCAATACTTTTTTATGAGTATTTAGACACCACTGACAGGTGAAAGAAAAAATAAAAGGAAAGCTGGACCTATAATCAAATTATAAGTTTGAACGAGTTTGGTGATTAATGCTCTAATCTTTCCCAAAAGGGAATAGGCCTCTGCTCAGTAGTGGGCACCAATACGCTGATGATGATGATAATAATAATGATTATTATTACATAAATTTCAGATAGACGTGAACAATAAGAGTTATCTATCAAAACTGGTCTTAAAATTGTCGAGAGGACATTCCCAAACATCTAAAGTATTGAAGAATCTTAAATCAAGTCCGGCCCAAGCTCTGTCGCTCGTTGGACAAGTTGGTATTGAGAAGACTATGTGGGAATATACAAAAATAATGTCACTTCTAGAACATTCCTTCTTTATAGCTGGCATCTGGCACACAGACAACAGGTATAAATTATACACTTAAAAGTAATATCCCATACTCTTCTACCTGGCAATTTCCCAGCTTTAGCCAGGGTCTGCCTTACATGTTGTGAATAGTTTTGGCTAATGGTTTTTACGACCGGCCGCCTGCCTGACATCAACCCTCTTTGGGAATGCATTAATCAGTGATGTCTACATACTCTTAGAAAGTGCATATGACTCGGAAAAATCACATTGGTACTTGACCGGGCCAGGATCGAACCCGCGCCCTCATGCATTAGAGGCGGGCCTTTTAACCACTAGGCCACCACTGACTTCCCATACTACTTTATCTTATATATGTATCCTTTATTAAAACCCACACTAATTACACGTTATTGATTTTGTTATTCATAGTAAGCCAAACACTGAAAATTATTATCCATTTAGTCTCTCTTATGCCAGTTGAAATGTCTTTGAAAAAAATTTATTTAATTTTTTCTCCACTCATATACATAGTAACTTGGGTTATTAACAATATATAAACCACTAGGTAAATGAAGCAAAAACATAAAAAGCAAGTATATAATATATTTTAATGTAATTTTCAGATCAAACGAATCAATTGAACAAATAAATCAAACGATCCAAGACATGACAATGGGTGATACATTGAATCCATTTGAGAATCTCACATCAACGGAACACTCCATACGTCTAGACACAGAGTCTATATGTATAGATGATGAAAACGAACTAACTGTTGATGACTTTACATCACTGAAGAAACATGGCCTGGTTAATGAAAGAAAAGATGTCAATGAGGTAGGTATATGTATAGAAATACCAATTAAAATATATCGATGGGTCCTATGTACATTATTTAAAGAACTAGTATGTTTATAAAAAACTTTATCAAGCTCAAATGACGTACATGTATGTCATAACTGCTATACAAAACTTTATATATACTACAAAATAAATTTGTATATACTGCAAAAGCATTAGTTGTCGCATGTAATAGATACATTGAAATCACACTTAAAGCGCCTGTACCGAAAAATTTACATTTTCCATGTTCGCCCTTATAGATAAGAGCCATCGATAGTAAAATCTCTATAACTTGAAGCTCGTTAATTCGAAATCCTCAGTAAGTCGGGAAAAAAAATGCCTTTCCCTTCCGCTAAACTCCTAAACACGCGGTATCTCGAATTATTTAGACTTTGTAACTCGAACAAAATGTTATTTCCCTACGACGTATTTATAAGACATATTTATACTCAATAACTCAAATTTCAAAAAGGAGACTCGATAAGTCGTAGTTAGTAAAGTAAAACAATGACGGTTAACTTGTCTTTTTCCCCGAAGTCATATAAATAAAATCCAAAAATTGTAGGTTGGGGGTTTCTAATTTATTGTCAATGCCTTGTGCACGTGCAGTGAATGACTGCATTCATAAGCCAGTACTCATTTGGCTGTTAACTAGCAACAACATGAATAGCAAAAGGAAACTGAAGACTTTAACTCTACGTGAAAAATTCAACGTTATCTATGTTGTAAAAAGTGGCACGAAGAAAAAAGATGTGGCAGCTCGGTATGGACTGCCAGCCAGCACTTTGTATACAATAATTATGAATGAAGCCGAAATACTGCAAAGATACGAATCAAGTACCAATTTGTCTTGCAAAAGACGACGTTTGGCGGAGTTTCCTGATTTAGAAGAATTCTTACTTACCTGGCTCAAACAGTGTCGGAACAAAAACATAAGCTTATCTGGGCCTATCTTAATATCTTATAATTTTGGAAGTCACTGGGACACAGTTCGTTTCGTGCCAGCAATGGTTGATTGGTGAATTTTAAGAAGCGCCATGAACTTATTTTTAGGAAAAGTCTGCGGCGAAAGTGCAAGTGTCAATAAAGAGATATGTGATGAATGGATAAATGAGTTGCAAATTTTATTGAAGGATTATAAACCAAAATACGTCCTTAATGCCGACGAGACTGGCCTTTTTTCAAGTGCTTACCTGACAAAACACTTAATTTTAAAAATGAAAAACGTCATGGCAGTAAGTACAGTAAAGAGCGATTAATAATACTACTAGCAACAAACATGACGGGCTCTGAAAAACTTAAACCATTAAAAAACCTCGTTGTTTCTCTGGTTGTAAAACTATACCACTAGACTGTGATGCTAACAAGAAAGCATGTATTAAATATTCAAAGGATGGCTCATTAAAGTCGATAAGATAATGATTACGGAGAAACGAAAAATATTGCTTTTCATTGACAACTGTACAGCTCACAACATAGTTCCGCCATTGAAAGCAATGAAAGTTAATTTTTTTCCACCCAATACGACATCTAAGTTACAGTTCTTAGATCAAGGAATAATAGAAAACTTCAAATCTTTTTACAGAAAGGAAGTTGTAAGGAAACTAATAACTGATATGGAACAACAGTCTGCTTCATCTATTAATGTATTGCACGCAATTAGGATGATAGACAAGGCTTGGAGAAGTGTATCTATGACTACAATGTCCAATTGCGTTAAAAGCTGTGGATTTTCGAAGCCACAAGAAGAAGCTTCAGAAGAACCTCAAGAGCCGGACATGAATTTAGAAGCGGACTGGAATAAACTCCAGAACATAGAAGTTCAATTTGAAGATTATGTGACATGTGATGAAGGGCTAGCTACTACTAGAACGCTAACTGATGCTGAAATCATTGACATAGTTAATCAGCATACAGATAATGATAATGTTGATGAAAATGACGTCGATCATACTGATCTAGCAGATTTTGAACCAGTAGTATCAAACAAGGAAGCCAGAGCAGCAATTAATACACTACGAACTTACATTGAAAGATGTGATGATATTGAAGATCGTGTGTTCAGTTCTTTGTTTGAACTTGAAAAAATAATTGATAAAAAAACTGCAAATTGTTTAAATAAAAAAAAAGATAGCCGGTTTTTTTAAGCGTTTAGAAAGTATACTTCAGTAATATAATTTTCGTTATTAAATAAATATATATCATAAAAATAAAATCGAATCGTTTTTAACTTTGACCCTACAAATCGAAATTTTAGCAGTTAAATCCTTTGTATCTCGAGATTCTTTTTAAGTCCAAAACTCACTAACTCGATTTTTTTAGCATTGCCCTTGTCATTCGAGTTATCGAGATTTCACTCTATAAGATTTTAATTGGTCTCTTTAAATAATAAGATTTTCGAATATTCATGTGTAACTAATATTTTCGGATTACTACGCGTATTTAATTATTTTTAACTACATACTCCCGACGTTACGGTTACTTTGCACTTGGGATGATATCTTTTTCCGAGATTTCTATTAGATCATAACAGATCGTTAAAAAATTATGTACATATTCTTTAAATATTATATTCATAGTTGTGTATTAACCATTACGGTTATCATTATATCATGGGATAGTGAGAGCCAAATTTACTATTCTCCTTTCCTTTTTAATTTACATGTATTTAATAATAATCACTTTAATAGGTGCCTTTAATAGCTGATGAAATAGATATAAGCCCATGGAAGAATTTATTGATGAAGTTTGCTCAAGTGCATGTGTGTTTGGAACATCTGTACAGAGCGGAGACTTGTTTGAGGGCAGATTTTGGTAAATATATTGCGTGTTATATTTATATATTATGAATATTTATATAATTGACTGATATCTACAATAACCGAATATTTTTTTTTAAATGAAATAGTCATAATTAGATTAAAATTTTAAACTTTTTACTTGTACTGTATTTTTTACTAGTATTTTGAAATATTGTATACTACCTGAGCTTTTAATTGAAATGCAATATTTGTCATATTCTCTCAATTTCCATGCACCATCAGGTAGTATAGTCGTGTAAAAAAAAAACATCAATTAGAAGACAGTTCCTTCACAAAGACATACTAATCTCAATTTATATAAAGACTAGAAGACCCGGCGAACTTCGTATCGCCTTATAATCAAGAAATATTTGTTACGTTTTTTTTATAAATAAAGTTAGGTTATACTACATATTTTGTATTAAATAGTCACTCATATATGGCGTTTGTATTTTTAACATAGCGCCATCTATTGAATACTTAACTCAGTCAACAGATAATTGTAATATGTATTGACAAATATTTTTCTTTAATAGACAAATAATTTGCAATAAGATAATATTGTGACTATAAATTGAGATGTAAGCTATCCTATCTTTCAAGTTGGATCAAAATGTACACGGAATGCAAATCATATTTAAAATCGGTTTAGCAGTTTCGGAGTCCATCGCGGACAAACACGTGACATGAACCTTTTATATATATAAAGATTAATTTTCATTGATTAATCATCAATTTTGATAATATTCATATAATTCAATAATTATTACAGTATATTAATTATATTTAATCTTAATTTTCAGTTCAACTTAAACCGATGGCATCTAAGTTATTAGAGAGCTATGTATCTGAGAAGTCAACCATTAAAACAGTTGGTCAGCTGATGAATGAAGTTATACATAATATATGTATACCAATCACAAACAATATAGTACAGGATCATCTCAAGTAAGTGTTTCTTTATATATGATTATTCTATAAAAGCCTTTAGAATTGGAATATTTCTAAAATTTTACCATAGAACAATCTTGAATTATTTTTTGGATTATACATTAAATCAGATATGATAGTTCAATTGATAAAGTATTGGAAACAAATATTGCGCAAGTTGAAGTTTCAATTCTTCCTCTTGTCAATTAAAATTTCATCCTTTTTTTCTAATTCAAATTTTCATTTTATATCACCAAAACATTGTTTTAATGCTATAAATCGAATTGCACAAACGTAAATAATGGAATTTAATTTTACTGAATTCTATAAATTGTAAGACAAAAAAAACCAGTTTCATTTTCATCTGAATAAAGCTTGTCTGTCATTACACCCATTGAATTTATTTGAAATGACATTGTAAGTGGTGAACGCATTATCTCAGTAACAGCTTATTCACCCTAAGATAATGTATATATAAATGTATGTATTAAACTAAAAATACTCAATTTTTTAAAGGAAAAATATTTTATAAATGTTTTGTACTTTTAGTAAACCAGCTGCTTGGTACAGATTGGAGCTTGGTTTCAAAGAAGTCTCAGATGTGAGAAACTACAAAGTAGTCAGCGTTTTCTCACAACTACCTGTGTTCCCGCCACAAGTATGGCAACACATAGGTAACATAAAATGCTCTTAAATTATTATATACATATTTAGATAGAGGAAATTCAAATTTCACTACTAGTTAAAAGATTGCATTCAAAGAAAAAAAGTTATTTTATAAGGATTTAATGTTTGGGACCAAAGTTATTTGATTAAAATAATAATTATTAAATTATATTTTAGAACCTCCTTCTGAAGAAATTGTGGAAGTGACTTCTGTGGAAGAATTGAAGTATCATCACACAAAATATATGTTTATAAGTGATAAGTATTCAAGGAAACTGGATTTCTTAATGTAAATAGACAACTACTATTGTAAAGATTAATGAGAATTATTTAATGTGATATTTCAAAATATGTACTTTATAATCTACATACATTTAAGGAAATAAAAATATTTCTGATAGCAACATTTTATTTCAAATTTCCTTTGGCTTTATCTGATGTCCACTCACTAAAACCAAATGCTCATGAACTGACATATATATACAGGGTGACTGGTGAATTACTATCAATATTTAAGGAGCATACTCGGTACATGATTCTCATTCGAGTTATGTAAAAAAAATAGGTACTTAATTTTTGACCAAATTTCCGTATAAATAAATAAAGTGTGTACACGTTCCAAGTGTTCCAAGTGTGGACGCGTGCGGCGGCGTGCTGATACAACACTACGCCGCCACGCGCGTATGTGTGTGTGTGTGTATACCTAATCTGTAGGGTGTTCATACGATGCGTAATTAATTACATAACTTTTGGTTAACTTTACTTAGAAGTTTATTAATATTTATGTTATATTAATTTTTATTGTGTCATATATGATCGTCATATATCACGTCCTCAAATATCGATAGTAATTCACCAGTCACCCTGTATATGTTGGAAATCTCAAACTGATTCCTTATTGTACTATTAGCAAACAAATCGCCATTTAACAATAACCATGATAGTAATTTTAAATGTAAGAAAGAAATCAATCGAAAAGACCTACATTACGACGTATGTTAGATCTTCAAAGGCAAATAGCGTACGTGAAACCGTTAAATCAATAAACAACGCACTTTGATCTTATGACTTCACCGAATAAAACTACATCATGCTAAGGTATATTTTCGATTAACCAATTTCAAATGAGAGATCTTATTCTACATACAGTAAGAAACCGAATAACACTGATGTTTTTTATTTATGCTATGGCTTCATTCGCACTGCAATCGTGGAATATTTTGCCAATGTCAACGTTTTTATTTGTTTGATGAATTTTAATCTTGAAACTTGAGTACTGGTGGAGAAAACACGAAACCCAGATGTTAATTTGTCGAAAGCAATATGACATTATTGACTCGAGGCTCAAATAGACCTTGAATCTGATTTATATGTGCTTCCTCCAATTTGGTATCTTCCCTATACACCCCGTGTGACGTTACCTGTTTGTAAACTATGCTTTGACATTATTTGACAAATTAGTTTTTAAGGTTTATATTAAGTTAGTTAATTTACATTATATCGTTTTATTTTGAAATTCTTTTGTTTAAAATTTTATATTTATCTTTTTAATAGCCGAGTTTCGGACTTTGTTTAAAAACTATTTGAGTGTTAGTGAATGGAAAAGGTTTTTCTGAAATTTATGTTAGTTTTTAATATAAGCTATACTAATAAATACGATGTTATTGTTAGCTCCTAAACATATAGTTAATTTAGTTTTAAAGTGAAATGTGTTATCAACTCATCTCATAAATCCTAATAGTTATCAACAGCGATCATCTGTTTCGTGTTTCATTTGATACTTCCTCGTCGAATATTTCGCATTCTTAACATTTACTAAACAAAATCTTATAATATGATTCTGATTATTTTTACATTATGTTCTTGGTTCACTATAAAATTTCATGGGCTTACTTTTCGTATATTCTATATTTGTAAGATGACATTTCCTCATATTTGACAGGTAAAAAAAATATTTTAAACTAGAAGACCTGGCGAACTTCGTATCGCCCTATAATCAAGAAATATCTATCACGTTTATTTATTTATATTTTTGGAGTTTACCTGTAAGCCATAAATCACCGTGTTTTGAAGTGCGACAGAATGTTTGACATATTAGTTAGTTGTCAAATCTAATGTCAAAAAAAACGTTTGTATGGGAAATAGAAAAGGGCTATTTTTATGGTAATTCCCAGTAATGAATCAATTTTTTTCAGCTTTTATACATTCCCTGAACCTCCACGAACATTTCAAGACTAAGATAAGATAAATCCGTTCAGCTGTTCTCGAGTTTTAGCGAGACTAAGGAACAGCAATCCATTTTTATATATATAGAAGATATAGTACACTTGACCATGACTTTTCTTAACATACGTGTCTTTGTTTGATGAGGAATTTGTTTTTGATAATTAAAATCATATTTTGAGTTACTTCAGATGTTGCGTGTGTCCAATATCAGAGATAACGTCTTCGTGATTCATAAAGTGGTTATACTGACCAGCTATCAGAGCACATGTTATGTTATCGATAAATTGCATTATATTTACACTTCCCTTGTCCTCTTAATCCAATTTCTGAAAGCGTTCCGTGTGATGATTACAATAAGTGATGAAGTTTATTCATAACCGACCGTCAGCAGATTAATAATTGTACATTTATTTTGACATTCACATATTACACAACGATATTCCAGGAATTTATGTAAATAAATTAACAAATTTAAATTACACTGGAATGCCGTAATAACTAAAAACTGCTACATCATCCAGTAGTTTCTTCGAATGTGTTAACCTTGTATACTTTAGACACGACACATTTAATTTCAAAGTCGTACTTGATAAATATATTTCCCTATTCCCTGTAATTCCAAAACATTAAATACATCATGTTCTGTCTGTACCATTGTTTACTCTGTGGGCCACGTGCGCTAATTATGCTCTTATTACTCAATCATACTATTTGCGGCATACGTCTGGCGGAAGGATTTTAAAGTATCAAGAATTTTATGGTTATTATTAACAGGTGCAAGGTTGTTATTTGACGGTATAGTGATCGACGTTATTTAAGAAGATATCTTCATTTGCGAAACAAAAGAACACACTATTTTAAACGTGATAGTTTTCTTTTACATTTATTTAATTTCAGATATATATGTACAAATATATGCACAATATACCAATTCAAAGTAAGAAATGTAATCCCGTTTTGATAATAATATTTCAGGCGCAAGGATTTATTATTTAATTAGATTCAATATTAGACCTTTTCCGATATATTTATATTCAGAACGAACGTTTGCAAACGCTTATTTTGACACTGTTCCATGTAAGGTGAAATTAAACTTATATAGATATTTAATTTGAAGAAGACATTAGTATTAAATAGGATTTAAAAGATAAGAAACCCACGACCCACTATAAAAAATTATTGTTAAATAGCTATAAGAATAAACTATAGAGGTTTTATTAAGAAAAATAATTACTATAAGCCATACACGTAGATAACGTTTTAAAAGTATAAAAAAAAAATCGGACATTTCTGTTAGAATAATTTAATCCCTACTAAATTTAAAAAACATATATTAATGTGTTATTAGTTTATATTTAAAACACTACATCTGCAGTATATCTCGGTTGTCATTGAGGCAGTTATGAATACAGTATTAATTGAATTTCACCCATATAGTGTATAAAAACATATATAATAAATATATGTTAGTAAGTCGGTCAGTCAATCAGTCGAATGATTTAAGAATCATATAAGTCCATTCGAGAATACCTAAACATTGTGTACCTTTTAATTATCTTGCGGTTTCTCGGTTACAAATAATTATGAATCAATCGTATGACTAAATTAACTAGGTGTGATATAAACTAAAGAATTGACGTTGGTTGCGGTCGTCATACCAAACTAAAAAATATTAGAAAAATATACATATAGGATAAACTTTTTCATTCATTAATAATATTCATATTATTTATTAATTTCTTATACTTTTCTTATGAAGATAAATTTTCTAAAATTTCGTCTGATAACAAAGACCCCCTTCTTATCATTTAGATTATTTCGATGTTGCCTCTTGAGAGTTTATTTGATGAATACTAGCGTGTTTCATAAGCATCTGCAGCGTGGTTGTAATTGAGAATTCGTTGACGTTTAGAATTTAATAAAATCTCACTCTATCCGTTTTCTATCGTTAACAAACATAAACTTTAGAGACAGAGATTTAAATCAATAGTCAACTAAAAACAGGCTGTTTTTAAAGAGTATTTAGTGGAAAGTAAGAGAATATATTAGAATTAGATATTGGAATTCCTAGCTTAAATAAGTAAAGATATGGTGTTCAGGTTTCTAGAGCTCATACATTCAAATCTATACTCAATCTTCAGCTATTTCAGAAATCTTAATTCTGGTAGATGGTTAAATTCCGTAAAATAATTTATGTGATGAATATGAGACGTCTCTTAAATACCTAATCAATCACGCAGAAAAACGATCTAAAAAATGAAAAAAAGATTAATTAAAATTCGAACACACCAAAGCGTTTACCTTCGATGTTAATACTATTTAATCTATGTAATCTTTTCAAACATTATTGAGTTTTAAATCTTATGATTTTGTATCTATATTTTCTACCTACGCTTCGTTTTAGCTGTCATTTGTCAGTGACGATCGATGGTCGGCCACCTAAAGTCACACGTCAAACGTGGTACGAACGAGACGGGACGTAATCACATTAGATTTCATTAGCTACCATACATATGACGCTTGCGGTTAAAATACATATATATGAAGAATAATTCTTTTAAATCTCATTATAAGATAGGAAAATAGTGACAGCGAACATAATACATTGTTATTATAGGAAATAAAATTAGAATAAACACTGGGCATTACAAAAGTGGGACAGTGTTATGGATTAAAGAGCTATATAGGTACATAGTCTTTCCATAAATACTGTTACAATTAAAAAGAAATAAAATACTACATTTGCATTTGGAATCTGTCATTTTTATATTATTGTAAAAGTAATAAATGTTATTTGTAATAGAATTTTTTTTATTTGTTACAATATTTATGGCTAGACTATGTAGATACAGATATAACTAGTATATAATACAACTATATAAATAAGATGAGTAAATAATGATGCACACATTGAAGATTATTCTTATTAGACAGGTCACTGCGTGCGTCAGAGTTCACCTCTAACCCGATCTAATTATGGGAGAATTACCAGACGGAGGTAGCGACTCAACTAAATGTTTGATGTTGAATCTTCTCATGCCTCTAGCTGAATTGATTAGCTCTTACA